TAACAATGGCAACCTTCCTTCCACCTCTTGGGGCAACCAACAGTAACAGCAGTAGCCTACAAGGTTTTGAGAGACTTCTGGACAACTTTGACAAGCAACTTAAAAGAGGACTTCTCATGCCTGGTTTTGTTAGATGGCCTTTGGCTCTTAGAGATGAGAAAGTTTCATTTAAACTACATACGTATACACAAATTTACATGTATTATAGGTATTTTTTAGGTAGATAGCTAATAGTATGATTCCTTGTGACCTTTTCAGACACCCTTACTGTTATTCCACCCTCCTCTCTCCTTCTTCTCTATTTATACCCCCTAAACACATTCTCCATAGTTACACCCCTCCCTTCCCTATTTCTTTTTTAGATCACATGTACCCTGCTATCCCCTTCTCTACTGCTCCCCAACCCTCAAACAGTCCACTTTTACTTTCCTGGTTTCTGCAGTTATTCCAGTATATGTACTCACATCTGAAGATTTAGAGCTAGGAGCCTCTAGTGAGACAGCACATGTGGTGTTTGTCTTTCTAGGTCTCAGTTACCTCATTCTGTATATTTTCTAGTTTCATCCATTCACCCACAAAGTTCATCATTAAGGTTTTCTTTACAGCTAAGTAATATTCCATAGTGTATCTGTACTACATTGTCATTATCCACTCATCAGTTGAAGGACATTGGGTTCCTTCCATTTCCTAGCTACTGAGACAACAGTGGGGATGAACAAGACTTCACAAGTATCTATAGAGTAAGATGTTGACTCTTTTCGGCATATGTCAAGGTCATATGCTGGGTCATGCAGGGATTTATTGTTAGCTTCTTGAGTGTTCCCTATAGTGATTTCCAAAGTAGCTGAACCAGTCCTCAAGCCCAACTGTGAATGAGGATTCTCTCCTCCTTCACATCCTTGCCAGTTGTTTGTTGACCTAGGCTATTTGAACAGAAATGACAAAAACTCAAGAGTTGTGTTTTATTAGCATATCTTTAATTGCTAGTGATGACAAACATTTTTTCAGAAATTTCTTAGCCAGTTTTGTTGTTGTATAAATTCTGTTGAGAACACTTTCTGTTCAGGTCCCAGGCTCACTATTTTGAATGGGCCATTTTTATTTGTTTGTTTGTGTTTGGGAGCTTAGACTCAGGCATTTCTATCTTTCTTTCTTTTTCCTAGGTAAGGGAAAGGGGGTTGAAAAAAGAGGGGATATAGAAATATTATAAGATATTAGACAAGTAGGGGTAGATTATTTTATCTACTCTTGAAACAAAAACATTTTATAGACACACTCTTATATTACTACAGAATTTTGTATATTGATACAAAAATAAGGTTATATTTTCTTACACTGGTACAAAATTTTGTATATCCTTGTAGGCTTAAGGATTTCATTGGTATAAATCCTTATATAGTAAGACAAAATTTGTCTTTTTGACAGAGCCCATGACCCCTGCAGGCATCAATTTTATGAGCAGATTTCCTTCTCACACTCTGTTAATACTATCTAGAGTTTTTCAGTGGACTTGGATATTATAATTTACTCTGATACAGTGACATTGACCCTAAAAGACTTTCATTTTATCTGAAGAACAAAAAGCAATTCTAAGACAAGTAGTTAGAAGGAGATCTGGCAAGAAGGAGCCATCGTCAGCAACTGTCAATCATGTCTGGCATCTACCTACTACAATAAGTAGAGAACCTGGAATAAATTTTGCTAACATTTTTTCAAGTGGTCCAGCATTACTCTGCATATCAGGTATTTACATTACTACTCACGAGAGTAGCAAGACTACAGTTATGAAGTAGCAATGAAATAATTTTAGGATGGGGGGTACAACATGAGGAACTGTATTCAAGGGTCACGGCGTAAGGAACGTTGTGAACCACTGCTCCTGGTAAACCAACAGATGACTTTGACTCTTACAAGGTTCTTCAGTGCAGTGCAAATTGAACAGTAGTTCATATTACTGAGAACTTCACAGAAAAATCAACAGGAGAGGTGTCTGCAAAATCAAAAGCTGTACAGATACCTGAGGCTATCGTATTCCTGGCCCAAAGGGAGATCAAACTCTGTTCCCTTACATAACTTCCTTTCACAGAGCCTTACTCTCAAAGATTGACTCTTTCTCTTTGAGAACAACCTAAATCATTCACTTGGGAAATAGAAGTCCAGAGTTAGGCCTACCATAAGAATGAAAACGTCTTAGTGTCCTGAAGAGGAAATGGACTTGTCATTACTTTAGCCACTGAGAAGACATACAGGAACAAACGACGTGACTGCCTTCGCATTTACATCCCTTGAGCATCTCACCACACTACTGTGGTATGAGTTCATGAATGGAAGAAGGTTCATTTGTGTCAGCTTTGCATTTGGCAAGTCTACTGCTGCCATTTTCCTCAACAGCGTATGGGCACTTGTATCTGCTTCAAATCCAAACATTGGTCATTCTCATCCTATTTCAAACCTTATTACCACCGTTTGTTATGACACTCTATCTTTGGGGATCTTTTATATGAATGTGGTAATTGCATTGAGATGCAATAATAGTGACTTTAATAAAAGTATGTGATCTGACTATATCAACAACCAGATGCTTCCCCATCTCTCCCCCTCTCCTTGAGCCACTTCATTATTTGAAGCAACAATCTTGAGATTAGGATATCAAGAAATTACGTCACAGGTCTCTCATTTCCAATTTAAAGCTAGAAATAATTAAGTTTAACTTGTGATAGGATGAAAACCAGGCCTTTTGCAACAAACTATTAGTAAAAAAAAATTCTTGAAGGAAAGTAAGTGGGTTCTTTGATCACAAAAACTGCCAAAAAAATTATTTCAGTAAACACAAGAACTATAATAGAGAGAAGTAACTTCATTGCTGATACCGAAATTGGATAGAAAATCAAACCAATTACATTTTCATGTGCCAAAGCCTAATGCAATGCAAAGTCCTGACTCACTTCTACTGTGTAAAGGCTGAGAGACATGGAATGTGAAGCTCTCAGAGGCTCTGCTCATGATGCTTAAGGAGGAAAAAGGCATTCTTATAACATTAAAGTATAAACTGAAACAGCAAATGATGGAGAAGAAACTGTATAGCTTTATTGGGAGAAACACAGTATAGACTAAGCAGACCTCTTTCGGAAGAACATTCCATATAGGACTTTCATAGCTAAAGGGAAATCAGTGAGTGGCTTCAAACTTTAATCACGGGATGACTTTCTTTTGGGAGAATAATTTAGCTGGTGACTTTAGGTTGGAGTTAAATACTAACACATTGCTCTAAATGTTCTATGGCTCTTAAGAAGTGTATTAACCCCCGACCCCATGACAGATCGTTTGCTTATAATGTTTTCCCTGAATATTTTAAGCTCATTGTTGACACACACTGCTCAAAAGATTTCAAAATACATATGATTTTCAAACTATTGCTTCTCATTTTTAATGTACCTAGTTACCCCCAGAGCTTCAGTGCAGATGTCTGATGAGACTGATATTCTTTTCATACCTGCCAACATATCATCAGACTTTCAACCCATGGAGAAAGGAGTCATTTTGGCTTTTAAATATGATTATTTAAGCAATACATCCTAGGGTGCTGGAGAGATAGCTCAGAGGTTAAGAGCTCACTTCTCTTGCAGAAGACCTGAGTTCAGTATGAGCACCCATGTTGTGTGCGTCAGATAGAGTAGTGGTCTCATTCTTTGCAAACCAGAACTCTTTTCTAATTTTAACAAGTTTCTATAGGTGCCTTCCCCTCTACCAGTCACGAACTTGCCTCAGCAGCCATCAGCTTCAAAGCAAATCCTGTATCAGGAGAAAGGTGTATGAGCTGACAGTTTAGACACTCATTACCATTTTTAGTAGCAAAATATTTAAACATTTTGATATTTATACTCAATTTAGACATGTTGTATACTTACTGTACCACAGCACAAAGTAAACAATAACTTTTTATGTATTTTGGGAAACCAGAAAAATTTCAAGATTTTCTTTATTGAAATATTTAGTTTATCATTATGGACTGGATCCAAACCTAGCTTATCCATAACACACCTTGTTACAAAACAAGGCAGTTGAGTTATATGAAAACCGGGGATTCACTTGTAAGATCTGGGTGTGTCTAATAAGTTGATTCTCTAGTAACTATTGTTATTAGATTATTTACCATCTACTAGGTGGCAAGACTCAATATTTTTATGAACAGGTGACTCACAACAGGGGATTTCCAGAAAGCCAAATAACAAGCGAAACTTTTCCTTCCCCTGGTATTAGCTCTAGTGATTACAAAATCAAAAAACAAAACATTACTCCACAGAGAAAAATTTCGAAGGATATACAAAGCTCTTGGTAAAAACACTATTGAAATCCTCAGGAGAGGATTTTGTTTATGTCTACTGAAGACAGAATGCTCTCTTCAGAAAAAAATACTGGGAAGCCAGCTGCAGCATAGCTGTATAATTTCTTTCTCTTAAAACGTTTAAACATTTAAAGCCTTAGTATTTTTCTTGGCAAGAATACATTTCTCTCTGATCTCATTTCTCTGAGCTCCTTTTGGAGACATCTTCTCTGCATCTTTTTTCCTTGTTCAATCGAATTCTTTTGATTTAGTGGATTAATTGCACTTTTTTGAGTATCATAATTGCTCGGCATCGTGAATTCCGTTTCATGTAAGTTTCTGCCTTTTTATTAAAATCACAACTCACCATCATCCCTACCACTGTGGCGAAGAGTCCCGTCCTCTCTGGCAAAGAGAACGCCCCTCTTTTTGGCCCCGCCCATCCTATATTTATTTGCTAATACCACGGGAGGTGGGGGGGAGAAGAGAGATGCGCAACCACCGCGACACTTCAACGGTCTTCTCACAGGGGGTTGGAGGGGAGAGCGAGATGCACAGGGATCGGGCATGCGCAGAAGCGCTTTTTGAAGCCAGCGTGGGAGAGAGAGGGCGGGGCGTCCCTTCTGGTCCTGCGCGTTCACGGGAAGCGGGCGCTCCCGTTGTTCTCCTCAGCTGGTGCTGTGGCTTCCGTCTCCGGTGGCCAGCTCCACCCAGCGTGCAGCGCGCGTGCGCGACTCCGGCAGGTGTGTGTGGCGACCGTCGACCTGGGAGCTGGAGCCGACGAGGGGGGCCGGCCCTGACGACCGGTTCTTGGTTAGCAGTTGAGGTAGGTCAGGGTGGGCGCGGGGTCTGGGATGAGAGATCGCGGAGGGAAACTGGCTCTGCGCCTCAGGGAAACTCCGAGGGCTCCTGCGGAGCTCCAGGGTCGGGAGCGATCTGCCCCGCGAGGCCCCGCGACTCGGCCCCAGGCCGGGCGTGGGCCGAGCCCTTCTCGCGTGGAACGGATGCTTGCTGTCCATGCTCGCGTGCCGAGGCCCTGTCACGAGCTGTCCCTCCGGGCGCTGGCAGCCGGCTCCTTTCTCGAGGATAATTTAGGGGGCCCTCCTATGCCTTCGACGTGCCCCGAGGGGCCGGCTGGTGATGCGTGGGACTGCAGGTAGAGCTGAGGGGGATGCAGAGGCCGCGAAGTTAGGCTGGCGAGTTCTCAGCTACCTGAGGGGGGAGGGAAACACATGAATTACATTCGCCTTCAGAACCGCCCTGGCTCCTGTGCATTGTGCACTTTGACGCTTGACACCGCAAGTGGCGCTAGGTTGGTGGATGAAGATGTTGGTTTATGGTTAAGGTACTTTGTCAGAGGTCCAGTTTTGTTAAAGACTTGCCATTTCAACGTGGTGCCTTTTAATCCGCACGGCTTGAATTTATCTTGGGAAGTCTTTGTTTTTCTCCTACATGTTTGTCTTTGCTCCTCTATTTGCCCAGGTCCCATGATGGTTATCACGACTTTATTCTTTGTCTGAACTGTTCCATTTACTCTTTGTCTTAGTTAGGGTTTTATTGCTATGAACAGACACCATGACCAAGGCAAGCCTTATAAAGGGCAACATTTAATTGGAGTTGGCTTACAGGTTCTGTCCATTATCATCAAGGCAGGAGCATGGCAGCATCCAGGCAGGCATGGTGCAGGAGGAGCTGAGAATTCTACATCTTCATCTGAAGGCTACTAGCAGAATACTGGCTTCCAGGCAGCTAGAATGTGGGACTTAAAGCCCATGCCCAGTGACACACTTACTGCAACAAGGCCATACCTATTCTAACGGGCCCAAAACCTTTGAATAGTGCCACCCAAACCTTTTGAATAATGCCACTCACTGGGTCGAGCGTATACAACCGTCACACTTTTTTTATCCACAAAACCATTGTATGTGTGTGTGTGTCTGTGTCTGTGTGTGTGTGTGTGGTTTCCCCTCCCCCTTTTTTCTCTTTGAAAAGATATTTCTAAGGGATTTTCAACTATATACGGATCAAGCAAAGTTTTGTTAATGCTCTGGGATTGTAAAGCTCATTGGAATTAAACAGCAGTGATGTGGGGTTAAACACAACTAACATGTGAGACAGGCATTTGTTTATGACTTTGTGAGAGGTTTGTCTTCCTAGTTGTTAGCCATCAAGTATAATACTATAATTTGTTTTGTTTAATGGGATTGTCTCTTAACTAAATTTTTCTACTAAACATGAGTGAAACATGTTACAACATTTGATACATGAGATCATGGTTAATGTGTTTCTTACCTGTTAGTTTTCTCCTTGAGGTGACCAGTTACTAGACAATAAGCAGCTACAGGGAGTTGAGGAAACAATCCGTTGGATGGGGAAGACACAGTCGGGTGAGAATGCTTCTTGTCGCAGCAGCTTGGTGAGGTTGCTTGCTCACACCTGGGTAGGTTAGAAAGCAGACAGGATAAGAAACAAGGCTCAGCATCCAGCATTGAACTCCCTACAGCTAGGCCCCATCTCAAGTTTCCAGAACCTCCCAAAACCATCAGGTATCAGTTCTGACATGTAATCTGTCAGGAGTTTTTATGGCCAAAGCACAACAGCTATTATTTGACTTAAGTCTTCTTATCAATTTACCCATTTTGAAGAGTTCACATTACATAACAGACTTCAAGTTTTGTGTAAGGGCTGCTAAGGAATGTGCCTAATCTCACAGGGCTGTTGTTAAGATAAATAACTGGATTAGAATATGATTTGGGAAATGAGGATATTTTCACTGTGAATGGAGATAGTCTGTGTTTGACAGCCCTAGAAAATTTCCAGTAGAGGAGTGAGCCCAGCCTAGGTTTGTGCAAATTTGGGCTTTAAGCCTGAATATTGCAATGTTAATGTTTTTGTTTGAAAGTATTTCCTCATAAAAGATACATTGTCTCTATGTTGGTAACCTTCACAGGAAATGTATGTTGTTAATTGGTCTGGAGTCTGGAGTCTGGATTTGCAACTGGCCAGAGGCTTTAGCCAGACTTAGTGTATGGGGTGTATTCTCGTAATTTTCCTGTTTTTATCCTGCCTCATGTCAACTGTTTGATTTGTCATTTAGAATTCACATTTACTAACCAAGAGAGTAAAAGTGAAGATGAGCAGCCGAAGGAAACGTGCTCCCCCGATGAAGGTGGATGAAGAAAGGCAGCAGCAGCTTCACTGGGACATGCATGAGGACCTGAGGAATGAGCAGCTCACCTTGACTGCTGAGGAGCAGGCCTGCTCAGATGCAGACTCTTCTGATTGCATCATCATAGATGATGACCCTCCTGAAAGTACAGTTCACAGAGATAAAAGGAGGCGTTCAGAGACTGTGAGCATCTTAGAATCCACTGAAAAAGAGACCCCTTTGTCTGTGACATTGAATGTTACAGTTTCTCCCTATCGTGTGGATCATTGTTGGAAAGCATTTCTGGGAGATTTTGCTCTTCAGCTTCTCCCCAACGAGAGTTTAGTTGAACATTTTTCTGAAAGGACTTTTACATTGATGAGTTCAGAGTCAAGCAGTCAGTTCCTGATCTATGTTCATTCAGATTGTAAAAATGTAGAGAAACAAGAAAATGTACTTAAAGGATCACCCAGTGTTTGTGGCAAGGGTATTCGAGTGGAATCCTCCTTTAGTAGTGACATGTTACAGGATTTGGCCTGGCTACAGAAGAAAAGAGGAATAAAACTCTACCAGAGACCAGAAGGAAATCATACAATCAAGGTACTCAGGGTCTGTGGTGTTGTAAGGTTCTACACTTGTAATTCATTAGCTTTAACTTAGAAAGTCTCAAAAACACAGCAATAAGCCCCTCATAAGTTTCAAAGAATAACTTCATATGGGGCTTTAAATAACTGTAAGACTGTGTCTTCCTGCCAGTAACAACTGGCCAGGTTGTACTTTCCTAAGAAGATTCTCCTGATTTTCTTTCCCTGCTGCTATGCTCAGTTACCTGCTTTGGTCCTTACCATCTTGCATTATAATACCTTGTGTTTTCAAATCTTTTGTCTATTTTGTTTCAGAAATGGTATATCTGAAATATGACTTAATTTCCTGATTGTAAACTTAAGCGTAACCTTGCTTTACTGACTTATAACTTCCTATCATATGTCATTGAACTTTACCCTTTGTCACTGTGGTTTTTTATCCAGCTCCTGAAATTCCAAAATTTGTTTCCCATATTCTGTCTTTCTGTCTCTGCTTTTCTTGGTTTCCTCTTTCTCTTCTCTGATAGTCTGTTGAGAAAGAATCTAATGCATGGATACATAGAGAAATTTTCTTAAGTCCTAGGTGTGGGGCTACGTGCCCTTGCCCAGTGTATCTATTTTCTTTTTTTCTCATTTTTCTTTTGGCTGCTTGAGATGGTTTGTATATGCTTGGTCCAGGGAGTGGCATTATTAGGAGGTGTGGCCTTGTTGAAGTAGGTGTGTCACTGTGGGCATGGGCTTTAAGACTCTAATCCTAGCTGCCTGGAAGCAAGTCTTCTCATGTTTGCCTTTGGAATAAGATGTAGAACTTTTAGCTCCTCCTGCACCATGCCTGGCTAGATGCTGCCATGGTCCTGCCTTGATGATAATGAATTGAACCTCTGAACCTGTAAGCCAGCCCCAATTAAATGTTGTCCTTATAAGAGTTGCCTTGGTCATGGGTCTGTTCACAGCAGTAAAACTTTTAACTGAGACACTGCTTGAAACACACATTTGGCATCCTTCCTTTTTGCTAAACTGTGAAGTCTTTTATCTTCAGTGCCCGTTAAAGTGCCTGGTACCTAACAGTATCAGTAAATTTGTAATTCATTTCAAGATCTGCATTCAATAAGTTGTGTAAATATGTGCAGATCAAATGTTCTAATACCAACTTTTTATGAACTGTAAAGAATACCCATTCTTTTATGATAGATTTTGCTAGGATCAGGTGAGATAATATAAGTAGATTGGTAAGCCTTCATGCTAAAGGCTGAAAGAAAAATCCTAAGAAGGTGTTTCATCTCTGTGTCACCGAAATGTTTTTCTTATTTCTCAAAAGAAATTATAACAATAGGCTAATTGTTATTTCTGAGGAGATCTGTTGTGTTTAGGGTGGAATGGCCATAGATTTAAAGAATAGAGAACATTTAAAAGCATTATACAGCAATTAACTTTTCTCTGGACAGTGGAATTCAACCATCCAATTCCCTGTCTACTGATTTTAAGGACCAAAATTTTGCAGATAGCAGGAATGTAAGAAATCATAGCCTATGTGTCTGTATTCTGTCCCTAAAACCATATCAAAATCTCTTCCATTTTCTCTGACCTTGATTGGGCTAAATTTGTAAATATTTAAGCCATCTCCAGGTGAACGGAAGGCAGATATGTACAATTCTGAAATGTTGTCTTTGCCATTTGTTAAAGTGTAATGTTGCTGGATTCTTAAAATTTCAGCAGAAGAAATGAAGGATTTCAGTCATTAGGGAATTAGGCCCAGGATAACTGGAGAAACAAAGAAAACGCATCGTTTACTGTTAGAAATCTCAAAAATTAAACTACTTAGGCTACCTCATAGACTTTCCATTTTAAAAATGAGAAGAGTTGAGTCTAAACAGAAGTTATATTTCCTAAATTTCTTTTACTCCTAAATATCAGTCTCTACTTAAATTTGAATATTTCAACTCTTATGATTCAACAGCTGCATTGTTTTGTAAGTTAAGATACTTAACATAGTCAAGGTCTGTTTTCTTCCACTTTTTATTTCATATTACTGGATCGATCCATTGAAAAGGATTCGCAAACATAACCTCAAAAGACTGAGCTAGGAAATGCTTCCTTGTACTGTGCTTCACTGATTATTCAGATGCCCATTAGGTTTAGACACCAGTGTCTTGGTGGGTAGAATTGAGGTTTTCATTGTATTTTTTGTGTTTTGGTCCTGTTTAAGGAAGTCTTTTTGTTTTCATTTTTCTAATAAATAATTCATCATAGACATTTATAGAATGAATTTATGAAAATAAAAGTGTATCTCATGCCTGTGGATCAAACATTGTTAAAACCTTTAAAATGGTGAATCTGGGGACTGGAGAACTGGCAGAGTGGTTAAGACCACTGGCTGCTCTTGCAGAGGACCTGAGTTCAATTCCCAGCCCCGACATGTCGGCTTCCATAGTCATTGCACACATGATACACAGACATACATGCAGACACAAACACCATATACATAAAAAAATTCAAAAAAACATTTTTTTTTTAGAGAAACAGTAACTCTGAAAAAGCTTTTCTCATATCCTTATAAGAACAGTATACTCCTAGTAAAATGTATGTTTGCTGATTCTTTGTAGGTGGGAATTTACATCTTGGAAGCTGGCCTAACAAGACTAGACTTCATGAGTGATGCAGGTTCCAGAATGAAAAAGTTCAATCAGCTCATGAAGAGAGTGATGGAAAAGTTACATAATTTCATTATTCCAGGTAATTACCAAAGTAAAATTTAAAATTGCATTTTGGGATTGCCAGTTTCTCCTCAACTTGTACATATAACAACCTGAAAATCAAGTAATAAAATGAAGAAACTTGAGTCTTCTTTATACAGTACTGTGTGACAAAATCTGAAATGCCCTTACTGATACAATTCGCTTTTTTACTGTAATTGCTTAATATTATGCCCAGCATTCAAGAAATGTTTGCAAAATCAATATACAAAGTCAAAAGGCACTCAAAACACATCTAAACTAGTTAGATTACTATTTATGTATTTATTTCTTAGCTATTCTACAAAAAGTTTTTGAAGCTGGTTGATTGATTTTCTTAGCTATTCTGCAAAAATTTTTAATAGCCAGAGATTGTTGCTGGCTTTTAATCTATTTTCCCTTGCAGTCTGATAAAGAATCTCAAGAGTTACATTTCTATAAAGAACAGATGACTTTGTTGTTTGTTGGCAGGACATGGAATTCTTGGTTAGCATGCACCTAAGGGCCTGTGAATATTAGTAAATGTAGCTCAGTGGTAAAGATAAAACAAACAAAAACCACTATTGGTTTAGTACTGTCTGCCACAGATAGACATGGGGAGTGGCTGAGGGGGTACCCAGCTATGCTGCTGGAGAAACAGCTTGATTCTACGAATTACTGTGGAGAATTTAATGTGCTTGTATTTTCAGGTGTAATTTGTAGAATAGTCTCTTCTCCCATTCCTTTCTTTTGTTTTGCTTTGTTTTTTCTTTTCCTTTCTTTTTTATTTGTTAGATGTCAAACCCAGAACGGCATGCTAGGCAAGTGGTGCACTTCTGAACTATAGCTTCAGCCCTATAAATTTTCATGTTAGAGTGTTTTGAAAATCTGTTTTTGAACATAGTGGGTACATTGATGCCATAGCTCATTCTTTCAGAACTTCACAATACTAATAATACTGATTTTGCACATTAAAGATTTACTGGAAAGAAAATATCTTGTTTCATAATTAGAAGTGCTATCAAGTACATCTAGAATTTTTTTTAGTTATAAGAATTTTAGCCAGCTGTGTTGGAGCACACCTAAACTGCCAGGTTCCGGAGGAAAACTTCAAGCTTAGCCATCAATGCTTGGTTACATTAATTATTTTGTTGCAATGGTATGAAATAAGTGTATAATTACATTGTGTGGTTGTGATAATACTATGTGATATTTTATATTGAAAATAATTTATAGATTATTCAATACACTCTTAGTCATTGAGTGTATTAGATGAATTCTGTAAAACCATGTAGTTTTATGATGTGCTCTTGGAGAACAGCTTAGAAATAAAAATGGTTCATTTCTTCACATTGAAAGACTAATTCAAGTGTGTGTGTGTTTTTTATTTTGTCCAAGTTACCATGAGTCTTATACAGGGCACTTGTGTTCATCTGGTGAAATGTGATAGATAGCCTGACATGCGTACATTAATTAGTCTTTCAGCATGTCTCCTCACTAACTCCTGCTGCTACCAAAGGCCTGCCCTTTCTTCTCAGCCTAAAAAAAATAATGAACCATTATCTTAATAAGCATGAAAAATAAGAATTTTTTATGTTAAGATGTGAAAATGATAAATAGTTTATAAATTACAGGTGAAATTTATACTCAGTTTCTCATACTTACTAAATACTTATGAGAACAGAGCATGTCAGTGTGTCTGAGGATCTGTGACAAGTACACATAGGTGACTGAGAAAGCAGAAACACTCCAGCCAAAGTATAAAATAGCGCATGAGCACGGAGCAGAAAGGAGACGCCATGCAGCATTGCAGCATTTGAACGCGTTTTAAAATTGCGTAGGTAGATATTTTTTGAGGACGGATTTTCCATCATGGAATACACATAACAGGACTGTGGAGCTAGATGGCTGCATGGGATTTCCTGGAATGAGGACTTGTGGTCGGCAAGCCTTGTGTAGCACAGACATCTACAGTCCCAGTCCCTACACTGAGCAGTGAGGCGCTTGGGTGTGAGACCGAGCCAGAGAGCATTGCAAAGTGTCTACAAAACACACAGAATGGGAAGGGAAGGGTTTAAAAAGAAAAAAGTACTTGTGGGTTACAATGCAGAGCCTGTTGTGAGTACGTTTGTTGGATATACAGATGTGCTGGAAGAAGATGAAGATTCAGAGAGTGAGCCAGAGGGCCAAGACATTGATGAGCTCTATCACTTTGTGAAGCAAACACACCAGCAAGAAACACAGTCAGTCCAAGTGGATGTCCAGCACCCTGCATTGATTCCGGTGCTGAGACCTTACCAGAGAGAGGCAGTCAACTGGATGTTACAGCAAGAGCAATTCAGAAGCACTCCTGTTGGTGGCAAGTATAAGATGCTTAAAGAAGGGCTCCTCGGGAGGCACAGTCTTGGAGATAGTTAATAGTGGGGTATGTATTGGGGTGATGGCATGTAATCATACTGAAAGGAGAATAATTTTCTACGATGTCTTTCAAAATATCTAGAAAGATTAATATGTGAATTTCCTTCATTTTTTTAGAAATTTAAACGTGTTCTTCCTTCAGCCTTAATGGGAATGTATGAAAAGTAAGAAATAAGTTTAAGTCATGGTCCCTACTTGTAATATCATTTTGAAAGGTAGTAGCAGGAAAATGAGGAATTGAAGTCATCCCAGGCCATGATGTGGATTCCAGGCCAGCCTGTCTGGGCTACGTGCCTTGCTATCTCAAGAGAAAGGAAGAGAAAGAGTAGGGGAAAGAAGAGGAAAAATCATGACTTGTTTACAAAGAATTGCTTTAGAACTTTATTAGTTATGTGTAAGAAAGTTCCTAACTTGACAATAAATATTATCAACAGACAGTAGGTTTGCAAATGTGACTAATTTTCTTAGCTTATATTTTTTGCTTGTACCACAAAATAAATAAAACCAGGAGATTCATTACAGGGGTGTACTTTAGTAATAACTTTTGTTTGTTTTTGAGGCAGGGTCTTGGTGTAACTCTATCTTAGAACTCAGTCACTACATAGACCAGGCTGACCTCGAGCTCTACTGTGAATTCATGTTTCTGCCTGCTAAGCACTGGGCGTAGAAGTGTGCATGACTAGGCCAGCACTGTTTTTAAATGAGTAGACAAATTTTGAAACTCAATACACCAAGTTATTAACTAGTTCTGATTCTTCCTGTATAGATTTACTTCATTTAACTTGAGATGATATTACTTATTTCTCCCAAATATTCTAGCAAACTAATTTGTTTTTAAGTTTCCCTTTTAGGAATTATAAATTGATAGGCAGCATTATTTCTTACTCCTTATCCTGTTAATATCAATACATTTGTCTTCTCCCCAAATTACCTTCCTCATCTCTATTTCCCTGTCTCCTACATTCTCATTCATTTATATTCTTACTCATTTTCTTTCCCTATCCTGAAACCAACATCTAACTCTGGAGTTGGATGCTCTTGGTAAAGTTTCATAATCTGTGTGTTTCGCTGCCCAGCTCACATTCAGTCTTTTCTATTTCATTATTTGTTTGAGAAATTGTTAGTTCTATAAAGCCCCACATAGGCCATACTATTTTTTTTCTCTAAAATAAAATAATTTTTAGACACTAATTTCCATAAGGAATAATTTACATACAACAAAATGCTTTGATCTTAAAGATAACATTTGATGTATTTTGACAAATCTGTGAATTTGGAGTCAACAGCCAGTCTTGTCAGGCTTCCACCACGGTGACAGAGATCTGAGAACGTCATCTCCAGAGAATCACTGAGTGACATGGTTCATTGCAAAAAATGACTAGCCTGATTGCTTTGGACTCGAGGAGAGATTAGTATTTAGAGGGAAGAAATACCTTGTTTCAGAAGTAGAGGAATGCTATCAAATACATCTTCAATTTTTTAAAATTATAATACTTTTACCTAGCTATGGTAGAGCACACTTTAGCTGCCAGTGCTTGGGAAGGATAATGTCAAACTTAGATATCAGTATTTGTTGATGTAATTATGAGTTGTAATGGTATAAGTGCGTAATTGCACACTGATTTTGTACTGAAAATAATTTATAGATTATTCAGTGTAGTCTTAGACATTGAGCATATTAAGTGTGCTCACAATGTTTACATTGTGGCAAAGACATGCAGCTGAGGAGCTCTTCCTCTCATTGTAGCCTGGAAACAGAGAACATGTTAAGAGGGGACCAGGATTAGATACAGTCCCCAAGGCCAGTCCCAGTCAGGACCAACTCCCTTTACTTGGGTACCATTTACAGTTTCTACTAGTTTTCAGAAAGCCCTCAAATTAAAGTATAGTAAGCACATATAGACACAGAGACACATATTTGCACTTCACAAATGCAAAAAACCCTTATCAGGTTAGAATTGGTGTTGCATATTAGTTTTCCCCCTGAGCTGTTTGTTGCACTTTGCTCTTCTGTGTTATTACTTATGACTTTGTGCAAAAGCAAAGGAAGCTGACAAATAGTATTAGAAGAATATTGTGAGAGGCACTCATGTGGCCTTTCCTGAGTGAGCCTTCTCAAGAACATGGGTCTCCTGAATCAGTATCCCATGCCATTTTGTTTGTTTTATCGTAGTATCACTATGTGGCAGGAGAAAAAAATCAAAACAAAACTTATATCTTATACTTCTCTTTAGATAACTCTCTGCACTTCTTGTGGCGAGAAATTGTTACACCTGATGGCTTGAAACTATACTATAATCCATACACAGGCTGGTAAGGCAAAATCTTATATGTTTGATCGTTATAAAATATATACAGTAAAAAGCCATGAGAATTTAACACATGCTCAGTATTAAGGAATACTAAAAGTCTTACTCTATATTTCTACAGTTAGGATAGACTCAGAATTAAAAAGCACTTGTCATTTCTCAGTGAATACGTTTACCATTATAGACTGAAGCTGCTGAGCTGTCAAGATTGACAGAGATAGCTGGGCAGGGTGAGGCATGCCTTTAATCCCAGCACTTGGAAGCTCTGAGTTGAAGGCCAGCTTGGTCTATGTAGAGAGTTCTAGGTCAGCAAGGACCATGTAGTACAATGCTACCCCAGAGATGGAGAGGGGGAGAGATTAGATTTATATCTCAAGTCATGGCATTTTTTTATAAAGACCAACTTTTATATGTTTAATTATCAATTTATAGATTTAATAAGTGTCAGGATCTTTGAGCATAATTAGTGAGTCAGTATTTATTGTCTTTTATATTTTTAATCACAGAGTCATGGAGATCATAAAGGGAATATACTGCCTTCTAAAACGTTATATATATATTTATTCTGTGGCCAAGGATGGAGAGGTGGCATGGTATACCTGTGAAGACAACTTGTCTTTTCGACTTTCATCATGCTTGTCAGAAGGCCTGGTGGCAGTCACTTTTGTCTGCTTAGCCATCTTGCTAGACTACATAACATTTCTCTTTAATTATAGATGAAATAATACGTTGAGATGTACTAGCACCATTCTTAATTCTACAGACTTAGTTGTCTGCTCAATTATTGTTATTATTTTATTCCTGTTATGTATGATTTGGAACTTTTGACTTTTTCCTCCTAAATGAAGTTTTAGTAAACTTAAAGTTTCATTCATTTCTTCAGGTCTCTTTGGGAATACTAATAAAAGACAGTATTTTATTTAAATCCTTGGGTTGTATTTTCTCTTAGCATCATTCGAGATTTTCCACATGCTGGGCCACAGTTGCTTGGTGGAATCTTAGCAGATGAAATGGGTCTTGGAAAGACAGTGGAAGTTCTGGCTCTGATTCTGACACATACCCGACAAGATGTCAAACAGGATGCTCTCACCCTTCCTGAGGTACAAAGAAATACTGCAGTGCTCCAGAGGATGGGGACAAAGGATGTCAGGAGACCTTATAGTGAACATTGAGCATTTGCTTGGCCCTTGAGTCAACCCCTACTGTGCATTGTATGAAAATGGCTTATATTCATGGTTGGTTACCTTCAAGTTACTGCAGAGAATGGGACTTTGGTTGCCCAGGAGGCTTTTCTTAAGTGATGTAGACCAACTAGTAAGAGAATATACAGCAGTGAGTTAGCAATCTTCCAACTAATTAGCAGGACCTTTAAAACAAATCCTGTTGGTGTTTCACATATCTTGTCAACACTAAAAGGTCTATATTGTCACTGAATAAAGAACTGTCTGTTTAATTACAAACCTCAGATTCTGTTAAGTAGAACTTAACTGATTGACTGATAGCTTAGTATTTATAGATTGTTAGATGGAAAACTTTTTGTATAAATATATGAATTTTAGAGTTCACAAAATATAATATCCTATGTTTCCCAGTAGTAAAACCTGAAGCCAGCACATTAAATCCTGATGAATTTAGCCCACTAATCAAAGGTAGAACTAGTTAAGGATCTTCAGAAAACACCAGGCCCACAATTTTAATACTTATGTAATCTATTGATAAATTCATGTAAATATAACAAACCTTAGTGATTTCAATTGTAAATAGAAAAGAATAATCTTTATATATCTTTGTATGTATGGCTATACTTACATAAGTTCATATAAATACACTTTTATAAATTTATATAAATATGTAGCTATGATGGAGGACATTGGAGAAAAGACTCAACAGTTGGTAGCTGTGGGCTCTGGCTGCTCTTCTAGAGGACTCAGGTTGGATTTCCAACACCCACCCATGGGTAACTAACCATCTGTAACTCTAGATCTAGTTGATGTCTCTCCCTCTTCTGGCCTCTATGGGCACTGCATGCATGAGATGTATAGACATACATGCAGACAAAATTCCCTTAAACATAAAATGAAAATAAATCTTTTTTTTTGGTTTTTCAAGGCAGGGTTTCTCAAATCTTATTTTTAAAAATACACTGTATATGACTTAAAGTATTAATAACATCTTTCATAGATTTTTAATTAAGCTCAGTACATATTTTCTTTCTGAACTTGCATTATTAAACTATTAAAATTTCATTATTCAAATTTAATGTATCAATTCTATTTTTAGCTGTATCTTTAAAAGTTACTTTCAGAAATTCCCTACATTTAGGTAATTTAAAGTATACAAATTAAAAAATGATGGCTGGTTATAAGCTCCAAAGTGAAAAATTGGTATATAATAAATGATATTTAGTTATCTCCTAGTTGTATATGGGTATTTTCCATTTCTTTAATAGAAGGGATAATTATAATACTGAACAAAAATATTTCAACTACCAAAATTGTGTATTTCAGGGAAAAGTGGTAAATTATTTCATCCCAACTCATTGTCCTAGAGGGAAAGTGAAAAATAGAGAAGTCCAGGATACAGAGTATGAACCAAAAGAGAAGGTTCACTGCCCTCGTAAGTGTGGTCTCTTCACGTGACTTCTTACGGTGATTTTTACTGTAGTTTATGTTATTCTTTAAAATAACAGGTTTTGTTTATTTGAGTTTTTTTTTTAGTTGTTTGTATTTAACATAAGAGCATGGTTAGAAGTTACGTCAAAAATAAAAAGTACTAGTTCAGCTTATTATATTTTAATTCCTTCAGTTTCGTTTAATTTTGAGTGTAGCTTTTATAATTTTTATTAGCAGAAGAATTTTCTTAGAAATCATAGCATAGCATATATTAGGACATTCAAGAGATGGTATTTTATAATTTGAATGATTGTTGTGTCATCAAATTAATAAATTAGTGTGAATAATTTTTTGTTAAATTATTTCTACTACCGTAATTTTTCTTAATTCAAGGTACATTTTTATTACATAATTTTTAGAATACTAGATTGTATTTAAGTCTTTTATATGTACCCAGTACTTAATAAAGATTAAGATTGAATTTCATATCAATTATTTTCAGTAATTATGATATCCTTTTGTCTATCCACTGTACATTTAGCTACACGTGTGATGATCCTGACAGCTGTGAAAGAAATGAACGGGAAGAAAGGGGTTTCTATTCTTTCTATCTATAAGTATGTCAGCTCCATATTCAGATACGATGTTCAGCGGAACCGGAGTCTTCTGAAGCGGATGCTGAAATGTTTAATCTTTGAAGGTCTTGTCAAACAGATCAAAGGCCATGGCTTCTCTGGGACTTTTACATTGGGGAAGAATTACAAAGAAGATGTATTTGATAAAACAAAAAAGCAGGTAACATTTATTAAGTACATATATTTGTATACAATGCCTTACAGAATAAATGAATAGGTCTACTTTAACACTAAAGCTTTCAGAGTTTAGAAACAAAAATCAGAAATGAGAAAAAGTATATGGCAGTGAGTGACTTAACGTTTCTACTTTCTGAATTTAAGTGTCACAAAAGTAACAACTATTTTAGTTACCGTTGAACCCAGAGAAGTATGGTTGGCACAGTAAAAGTACTCAATGGGACGAACTCTAAAATGAGCTGGTTTCATATACCTTAAAGTTTAAGGTAACTTGTCTCTTGTTAAGATGCTGTCTGCATTTACAAACATTGCTCCCAGCTTTAGAAATGTTAATGTCTCACATTGCATGTATGTAAATGCTTCAAGTCTTTTATATAAAGTTATCATGTTCCCAATGACATCATCATTAAAATGACTTTAATATTTTCTATAAATCTATTTTCATTTGGCAAGTAATTTCAATTTGCTTTTAGAAAAGTAGACACAGTGCTTGTAAACATCATTAAGGAAAGAATGCTGACAACAAATCAGAGTATGAAAGAAAGCCTTTTGCTTGCTTTCTCTTGGCCGTTGTAAGAGATAGTAGAGAAAATAAACAGACACACTTCATCTCCTAGAGTAGAGACCATCCAGCTTGTGCCTAAGCAAGCACAGCAGTGAGATGTGCTTTTGCAGCCCTGTTGCCACCAGGAGTTGGGATCTCTAATCAGTGCCATTGTTCTGTATTAATATCCTGGTTCTTCTGTGTGCCCTTAGTTCTGCTCCTATTTTCAGGGAGCTGTTCCTGTCACCTACCTGTTTGTCACACCCCGACTGTATTACATGCTTTTTGTAGGCACTTCTGTAATGTGCTTTTACTTACTATTCAGAGACAATACCTGGCCCAGAACTGACATTCAAACCAAAATGACAAGAAACAGACATAGAAAGGCAAAGAGAAAAGTCTATACTGGTGGCAGTAAATAGTAATCAACCTTCATTTTATTTGTACATGATGATTTGAAATTGTATGTACTCTAAATTTCTGTTTTTGATTGATTTAAGTGGACATTAAATCATAAAATATGAATAACAAAGGGATAGTTTATCTTTCCCATCAGTACTATACAGGGATCAAGTAGAACCTTCGCTTCTTTGAAGGTTACAGAGAGGGATCTTTCAGGGGATAAATTAGAATATGTTTATCAGGAACAAGTCTCCTTGGGTAAAGAGGTGATAAAGACTGTTGAATTTGTTTGTAAAACAAATTTATATATATATATATGTATATGTATATGTATATGTATATGTATATGTATATGTATATGTATATATATATGCTTGTAAAACAAATTATATATAATGTATATAATATACACACACGCATATATATATATTTTAGAGTTTAATTTCACAGTTATAACTTTATTGGCACATGTTAATTAAATAATACTTTTCATAGACAGTAGGGAGTCCAAGAAAAATTGAGAAAGAATTAAGGAAGTCAGTGAACAAGGATACAGATTCTGAATACCTGCCATCAAACACTTCTGATGATGATGATCCTTATTATTATTACTGTAAGACAAGAAAAAGCCGTAGTAAGTTGAAGAAGCCTGTTTTACTCACTAAAAAAGAAAAGGGTCAGCCTGCTAACCTGGATTCCCAAGATGATGCTCCGGCTGCTGGAGACTCTGCAAGTGCTGATGATGCTCATGTGTCAGAAAGCACATGCATCTCTGAAGACAGGCAAACCCAAGAAGCAAAAGACTGTGCTGAGTCTCCAAACCCTGCTGCCAAGGAGTTGGCACAGTCTAACACTGCAAGTCCTTGTGAGATGCCTGATTACCGTTTTGAGTGTATATGTGGTGAATTTGACCAGATTGGCCGCAAGCCAAGAGTTCAGTGTCTGAAGTGTCACCTGTGGCAGCATGCGAAGTGTGTCAATTATGAGGAGAAGAATCTGAAGGTGAAGCCTTTTTACTGCCCCCACTGCCTTGTTGCCATGGAGCCAGTGTCAACAAGAGCAACTCTGATCATCTCTCCCAGCTCCATTTGCCACCAGTGGGTGGATGAAATCAACCGGCACGTGAGGTCATCGTCTCTTCGAGTTTTGGTAAGGCACTGCAGCTAAAGAGGGATTAAAACATGGACATTTTTGCTTTTTTGTGATAGTTTTCATTGTGATTGGACAAGGTCTCATGTAGCCCAGGATAGCTCCAAGGATGACATTGGACTCCTGATGTTCCTGCCTCTACTTTTGATGATGGATGATTTTACTTTTATTTATGCTTTTCTGCCCAAAGCTCTTTGTTAATGTTTTCGTATTTTTTTTTTCAATAAATTGAATTCAAGGGCTTGTGCATGTCAGGCAAGCACTGTAGCACTGTGTCATATTACCATCATCCTCTGTTTGTATATTACTAAAATTATTTGTTATGCTGTTAGTTAGACCAGAGCTTGAAGAGAATATTGAAAAGAAGAAATAGAAGAATAAACTATATTCTTTTTTGACTTCCAGATTTCAAAAGTTGAGAGTATATTGATATTAAGGCTTTTTAAAGATTCTTGATCATCAAGATGAAAATGTGTTGGTAGAAGCATTTGTGATTTCAGAGAAAGATATAGTCCCAGGATGGCATAGTATAATTGCAGATGTCACTTAACCTGTCATCTTATTGTCTTCTGGAGCCTCAATTACCTCATTAGAATAATTCAAATCTTTGTTCAGTCCTTGACATTTTCTAGGAGCTATGTTCAGTTCTAAAAGCAGCCTTTCATAGGCTTGCTGTGTAGGTTAAATTAGGTGGTCAAGTGCTGACCCAGAGTCATTGGTTGTTATTGTTGGCTGCCTTCCTTCTTCCTCCCATGTAAATAGTGTAGCTTTTCCATAGTCGGCCACTGACATGGACATGAAGACAGTAACAATAAATAAAACACAGTTTTTCCATTGAGCAGCTCTTTTCTGTGTGGATAGGCTTTTCAGTCTTAGCTCCTTCAGTTTTGAGCGGGTCAGTGTTTCCTTTATGTGAGAAAGAAATAGCACTTAAATAGTATGGCTGTTGAAATTTGGAGAAAGTTCTTCGTATGGTATCTGAAATAGGATGGATACCTCATAAATGGTAGCTGTGATTACTCTGCTTCTCCATACCACTGGATTTTCACACCCCTGCTGAGTCCATCTACCAGCCTGCTTACATTCCTTCCCTTTTTGTCCAGTTGAAGGCGCCCTAAGCATTTGTTTCAAAACTTAACGGAAACAGTAGCTCCTCTGAATTAACTGTCAGTTGCATGACTGGTCTTTCCACCAGTGCTGTCACAATTGCTCTATGATATTTCTATTTGCATTGTTTATGTCACTTGGCTCCCAGACTAAAACATAACGTTTCTCCAGACCGTTATGGAATTTGTCTATAGTATGTGTGGCCAAAAGCAAATTTAGGAAGGGCTCAGTTCAGTAGGAGTATAAATAAATGAGTATTTCTTTGGCCTCTGCCAAGGTTTTCTGTAATAACTCTTGGTGCTGCTTATTTCCCAGGTATATCAAGGAGTGAAGAAAGACGGCTTTTTACAGCCTCATTTTTTGGCAGAGCAAGATATAGTTATCATTACCTATGATGTTCTTCGTTCAGAACTAAACTATGTCGATATCCCACATAGCAATAGTGAAGATGGGCGTCGCCTGAGGAACCAGAAGCGTTATATGGCCATCCCCAGCCCTTTGGTAGCAGTGGAATGGTGGAGGATCTGTCTTGATGAAGCTCAGATGGTTGAATGTCCTACAGTAAAAGTAAGAGTCTCTGCAACATCTTTGAGTGCAGAGGAAGGAAGGACATGAGTGGTACAGTAGTTGGAATTCACTTAACCCACAGTACTGAGAGAATTGGAACATTTGTTGCCAAACACTCTTTTGTGTTACCTACTACATAATCCTTTGAAATTATTCTAATTCTCTGAATGATACTTTTGTGTGGAATACTTGGGTATCAGTGTGTGTATGACACAGTTCAAGGCAAACTATGTTTAGGGACCTCTAAATCATTTCACCTAATTTGAAGGCTTATCATGTGTTTTCCAGTACCTTGTAGCAAATGGCTAAAGAAAATGACTCTTATGTATTGATTTGTATTATAGCTATCTCTATGTGTATGTATAAGTCAGGCATTCCTCTGTGACTCTCCACCCTATTGTTTAAGATGGTCTCTCATTAGACCTAGAACTTACTGAGCTAGCTAGCTAGACTGGCTGGTTTGCCAGACTCAGTGATTCCCCTGCCGTTGTTTCCCAGTGCTAGGATTTAACTACTATGCATGTTTCTTTTTACTTTGGTGCTAAGGATCCAACATCAGGTCCTAGTATTGTGTAACAAATACCTTACTGACTGAGCAATCTCCCAAGTCCCATTATTTATCTTTATTCTGTCTCCAGTGACTAGTCTGTAGCCTGAACTGAATTGATGAATCATATCTCATAGCACAAATGCTCACCTCTATGGTACATAGTGGTACATGCTTGAACTACCCCTGCATCTCTGTAGCTCATGCTGAGCTCCTGCTAATGAGAACCACTGTGTTGGGTAATGGCTTATTGAATATGACATTCGATATCGAGTGTGAAAACTCATAAATTAAAGCAGATGTATCTTATCTGAAATAGGATATATAGTGGGCCATTTTCATGAGGAAACACATACCTGATTTCTGTGTTTTGTTCCAACTCATATTTTTCTTTCATTAGGCTGCAGAAATGGCCCAGCGTTTGAGCGGGATTAATCGGTGGTGCATCAGTGGCACTCCAGTGCAGAGAGGATTGGAAGGTAATGCAGGCTTTCCACAGTCACCATACTTGAAGAGCTGCTTACTTATAGGGGAAAGTACTGCTATGCTTAATTTTTGTCAAAATCTTTATTTAAGTGTATTTTTACTTAGAGTTTGCTCTTTATAGTTTAAAACAATTAATTTGTAAATGGAACTTGGGCCGGGCAGTGGTAGCACACGCCTTTCATCCCAGCACTTGGGAGGCAGAGGCAGGCGGATTTCTAAATTTGAGGCCAGCCTGGTCTACAGAGTGAGTTCTAGTACAGCCAGGGCTATACAGAGAAACTCTGTCTCGAAAAAACAAAAAACAAAACAAACAAACAAAAAAAGAAGTAAATGGAACTTGGGTGATGCTTCAGTTTGTATTCATGAAGACAGATACATAGTGGGGACTCACATTGCTTTAAATTGGCCAAGTGTTATACCCATTCTATAGTATAGATAGAGGTCTCAACTCAGTGTGAATTCCAAAGAAGGTTTAAAAGCTGAGAAGAAAGGAAAGCATGAGGGTGAGAAAATCAAATTTATATTATTGGATACTGAAGAAAATGACAGCTGAGTTGAGATCTGTAGCACTGTTAAGTGATAAGAGATGAAGCTATTATGGCTGCAGGAGACCTTAAACTTAAGTGTCAGTGTGGCTAAAGAGCAAACAGCTAGGGCAGTCAAACATGAAGAGACTGAATGGGTAGATACAGCGAAAACCAAAACGGATCTATTAGACCATAATAAAGTACTGTTCTTTTTTTTTTTTTGAAAAATAGAATTTGAATTTTGAAAATTTGGGAAATTTTTGAAAAATTGGGAACTATTAGAAGGATTTAGACACAATATAATAAATTCATCTTACGGATGAATTTATTTTTCAGAAGATGACTGTCATTGTAACAGAGAGTAGTTGTCAGAGAGCAGAGTATGTACTAGGATAGCAGCTGTTTGGCTGCAGCAATTGATGGAGGCAGGCAATGCTAGCACTGTGGGTCTAGACTAGAGTTGTCTTAGAGAAACAGAAAGTGGATGAGGAAAATGAACAAAGTGTGGTGTGCTGATAAATTTCTAAGTCATACACGTCTATAAATTATGCTAGAAGGAAAGCATCTTTAGGAAATAAGATTGTTAATTTGTTTCCAGCAGATATAATTAGAGGACTTTAGGTAAGTAGTACATAAAACAATTGGACTGATGTGATCTGAACTATAAATCTTTGATTTCTGCAGATAAACGTATATAATTCATGTGTGCTATCAGAGTCACTTGATTCAGCTATATAGCAAGGCCCTGTCTAAAAAGTAATTTCAACCTAAAATGTTTGTTAGCCATCCTCAAATGGTGTAATAGGTAGTTTGTTTATTTGTTTCACATTTTTGTTAGTTCCTTTAGAGTCATACAGTCTATTCTAATCATATTCACCTGCCTCTCTTATTTCTTCCCCAGTTCACTCACCCACCCAGGTTTTAATCCTTCATGACAAGTTTGTGCTCCTAAATATTTTAGGGTATATGGCCTTACAGAGAGTAGTTGACTTAACAAGATCTACTCTCCCTTTCCCATAAGGTAATGATAGCCAGTGGCTCCAGGGCATAGTATGGGATTGTGTTCCCAACCCTCCTCTCCATGAAGGGATTTTCTCTGGTTGGGAATCATGGCATTTTTAAAAATAATTTTTACTCCTTTTGAAGAAGGCATATATTGTGTTTTTTCAACTAATGAAACATAAAAGTAAAGAAAATTACACTCAGGCATGGAGAAATGGGATAGTGGTTACGAGTGGTGATTCTCTAAGTAAGTTTTGTGTGCATTTCCTTATTGTCTTATGTTAGTTTCCTAGAAATGAAGTTAGTAGAGGAAAGATCATTAGGGATGTTAGTTATTCTATGCAAATTCTCTGATTCTCTGCATCACATGAGATTAGCTCCTACTTTTATTTTTTCATGTTTTTCTCATTTAACAAGTCTTGCTTTAAGGCATGTGTCTTAATTAAGCAAATCTATTGAAGTTTCACTGATAGCAGCATCAGGCTCTTGAGTAAAGTGCAAGCTTCTGTAGTAGTTCTTACGCCTTAAGTATCCCAAAAGTTAAAGCAGAACCTAGAGCACAGTAGATTCTCAAAAATGTAAATTGATCTGGGATAAAATGTTCATATTCAAGAGGCTACAAGATGCATTCTATTTCATGGTAAGTTTTTTGTATGCTTTGTGGGTTTGTGAGTGAGCTTATGCAGCAACAAAATAAATCCTGAAACAATTTTCCTGTGTCCTGTGGCTTTTCCCTTACAGATCTTTTTGGGCTGGTGGTCTTTCTTGGGATTGAACCTTATTGTGTCAAACACTGGTGGATTCGACTTCTCTATCATCCATACTGCAAGAAAAATCCTCAGCCCCTGTACAGTTTTATTGCCAGGATAATGTGGAGGTCTGCAAAGAAAGATGTCATTGACCAAGTCAGTATGCCAAACTTTTACTGGCTACAAATGTTAGAAGAAAAAAAAAGCTGGGATTAAAGTTAAAATATCAGGCTAAATTGTTTTCAACTTTCCATTTCAGATCCAGATTCCACCTCAGACTGAAGAAATGCACTGGCTCCATTTTTCCCCTGTGGAGAGGCACTTCTATCACCGACAGCATGAGGTGTGCTGCCAGGATGCCGTGGTGAAGCTCAGGAAGATCTCTGACTGGGCCCTGAGACTGAGCAGCTTGGACAGGAGGACCGTCTCCTCTATTCTGTATCCACTGCTGCGGCTTCGGCAGGCCTGCTGCCATCCACAGGCTGTGCGTGGGGAGTTCCTGCCACTCCAGAAGAGGTTTGACCATCAGTTCACGTCTCTTGTGGGATTTATGTTGCAGTAGTGGGCAGTATTTAGGCACTTTTGACTCCCAGTTTTATTCAGGGACTTCAGGCTAGGCAGCAGCTATGTTTGTTTGTTTGTTTTGTTAGTTTCATGGTTTTGTGTCTGTGGAGCCTCATTTGTGAAAGAGTCATAAAAATTGTTTTCATTTCTTTTAAAAATTTAAATTATTATAACAGGTTTTTGTGGTTGTATTTTTGGTTTAGAGAGGATTTCTGTCTTTTTTTTTTTTTTTTCTTTCAAGACAGGATTTCTCTCTGTAGCCCTGGCTGCCCTTGTACTCTCTCTCTCTGTAGACCAGGCTGGTCTCTGTCTGCCTCCCAGGTTAAAGGCAGGCATCCCCACACCTGGTAAAATTTTTTGTTCTTAATACTTCTAGTTTCCCACATGAAGAATGTACTAGCTATATGTGTCCTGTTTCATAATTCTTTTTGTGGATTGGACTATACCTTAAAAGGGGGCCTATGTTTAGTACCTGGTATTATAAGAAACTCTCTTAGCTGTCAAAGAATTGTAACGATGATTATATTTGGGGCTTACTTGAGTAGATTATAGACAGTTAGAAATAGCAAAGATGATAAATTCATATATAAACTGAACGTGATATAAGTTTTACATATTATAGATTGCTATGGAAACACTTTCCATTTAAAAAATAGTTTAAGACATCTCTCTAGTGGAAATGACATCTGACTTGACTATTAGAACATCTCAATTTTTATTTTATAAACTAAAATTTAAACTTACAGTAAAGCATAATTCTAATTAATTTGTAGTGATATAATTCATTTAGACCCAGTCTTACATTGTGATCCTTGTACTGTTTCAAATATGTCATATTGTTCATTTTGAGTAAAGAGTAAAATGTGAAAGAAAGCAGATTAAGGAGGAGAATACTTGCTGGATTAATAACAATTAAGTATAAGCCATAACTGTAAAACTGAAAGTGAAGGGGCTGGAGATGGGTTCAGCAGTTCAAAAAACTCTTCCTGCTCTTCCAAAGGACTGAGTCTACTTCCCAGTACAATGTCAGGTCGCTTACAACACCCTGTCACTCCAGTTCCAGGGAGTATCTTCTGGCCTCAGTGTGCATGTGCATGCTCGTGTTCTCTCCTCCCCCACCTCCTCTTTCACGCACACGCACACGCACATACACACGCGCACACACATCACACACATCACACTCAGACAGTCAAGTACTCATAAATAAATGCTTAGAAGCGGAGATGAAAGCTGCTGAAGGAAGATGTGGTGCAAATACTAAAGAGCACTGTGCCCTTTCTCTAGCGCACTGACTTTCTTGCTCAGATAATGCTTGGAGGTTTCAGTACTGATTTTGAAAGTTGTCTCTTCTTTTAGTACCATGACAATGGAAGAGTTGCTGACATCTTTGCAGAAGAAATGTGGAACGGAATGTGAAGAGGCCCACCGGCAACTTGTTTGTGCCCTTAACGGCTTAGCAGGCATTCACATCATTAAAGGTAGAAGGTGATTGCTTTATTATATTTGATTCTTCCAGTACTTTTTGAGGAAGGTTAATTATAGAGTAATGTTCTCACACACTTCTGATACGAGTTTAATGGGTTCCACTACATAGCTACATAGCAAGCACTTATGCAGAGTATGTTGAGATCAATCAGTGTACATGTACCTTAAGCAATCAGTTTTACCTTGGGAAGATTAGTAAATTAGAAAATTTTAGGAAATTAAGACATAAACAAAGATGTCCCCATATTTATGTTAGTCTTTTATAGAGAAAAATTAAAAGCAACCAGAAAACTTAGAAATAGAATTAAATGATTAAATTGTAACACATTCTTGGACATATTGTTAATTGATTTTAAAATTGATATTGTACATTCAGTTTTTTCATATCATAGTGTATGCCAAGAATGGTCTAGAAAGAAAATGCAAAGTAAAATCTCAAATCTTGCATACACAACTAAATCCACAGTTTCCAAATAATCACAGTAATTGATAGACTTATGAGAATAGGCAAATCTGTAATTGTAGTAGCAGGTATTGATATCTCCAACCCAACTGCAGAACAAGCAGATATTGTTGTCAATACTTAAGTGTAACAAAGACTTGTATGAAAGTGATCTAGTCAGGACTTACTGATCACTGCCCAGCATCAGAGGAATGTGTGCTCCTTTCAGGTACACATCTAAAATAGGAAACAAGACAGTAGATACAAGGATTCAAGTCTTCCAGTACTTGTTTAATTACCACAGTGGAATTGAACTAGCTATCAGGCTGGTGAGGGGATTCCTGCCAAACTTATGGCATGAGTTCAGTGCCTGGCACCCACCTTTTGGATGAAGAGAACCCATAAGTTATTCTCGTATGTGCTCTGTGGCATGCATGCCCTCCTGCCCCATCAGTGAGTAAATGTAATTGAAAAAATAGATACCAATTAAAAGTAACTAGAAGTACTTCACATATTTGGGGGAGGGAGTAGCACAGTATAAAGGGAAATTCAAAAGGAGAAGCTAGGAAGTATTTAGAAGTGAATGAGAACAAAATAAAGATATGTGAGATCCTGCGTATCAATAATTAAGGGAAATTTGAAGCAGAAAATATTTTTTAAAATGTGTTAATAGTTGTTTTGTTACATCTGTTACATTAATTTATAAATTAAACTTTACCATAGGATTATGTGCATAAGAAACTATGCATTGAGCTTAGCACTGTACACTATGAAGGATTTATGTTTACTAGTGGTGCCTTTGTTTATAGCCCTTGCTAATGAGAGATCTGCTTCACCGTGCGTTAGAGGTAGGGAGCCACCTTGTGATAAATAGCATTTCCTTCAGTCCTCCACATGTAACCCTCTTCTGTACTATCAAGCACCGTGACAGTTACTAATGTATTAGTCTACTTTGATGTGCTGTCATGGGGCATTTTATAGCTGTTCTCATTTAGGTAACAACTTAAAACATCATTAGAAGGGCCTGGAGTGGAAAAACTCCTTGCCTTGCGTGCATGAAGATCTGAGTTTGATTCCCCTAGAACATGCTTAAAAGAACCACTCTTAGGTGTAATCCAGCAGTGAGAAGGCAGATCGGCCATCCAGCCTAGCTCCTGGAGAATATCAGGCAAGTAAAAAGACGACATCTCCAAAAATAACATAGGCAGTACCTGCGCAACAGCAGCCACCTGACATTGTCATTGGGGCTCCATACACATGTGTATACAAATGCATGTGCATCACACATACACATGTACCTGCATGCTCATGTACAAAAACAGAAGATTATTCAGAGAAATATGTACTTTCTGTAGAATACAAAATAAGCATTCTAAGCCTTCAAGTAGCCTTTGTTATCTGTTCCTTGGCATGGAAGAACCATCCTGGAGAGTGTCTCTTCCTTTCTAAGATGCTTGAGAACTAGTGAGCCATTCAAACTGGGTAGAAGCAGGTCCAGCAGGGCAGAAAGATGCTTGGCTTCTCTACGGTCATGCTTGAGCTGGTCTCTGACACACAGCACATCTATGTCTGTCCTTTAGAGCACAGTACAGAGAAGCCCTTGCTTTGCCTCCCCCCAAAAGTGTTATTCTTAGTATGAAACAGGGAAACACTGAAAACTTGAAAACCAGATCTTCCTCATGTTATGGATTATAATACAATACGAAAAGATCTCAGATAGTGATTTAATCTTGTTCACAGTGTAAGTTTTATTAGCAATAGTTAACAGGACAAAAATTTGGGTTTAGAGTAGGTCTGATAAGTTTTCCAAACATGGTACCTACAACTTTGAGAAAAGTTTCTTTTTGGGATAGGCTCTTTCAAATAATATTATTTACAAATTTACATTTCCTATATTTTTTTTTATCCATTTTGATAAGTGTGCTCTGTAGTAGTAGTCTAGGGATCAATCTAAACTCCAAATTATCTGAGCCTTATTGTCCATTAAAAAAAGACTGAATAGACAAGCAACTCTGGTAAAGAATTTTACAGTTGAACTTTATTTCATACCAACTTGGACAGAATTAAGCAAAAATTGGGAAAATGCATATCATATCTAATACCAGCTTTTTACAGTGTCAACTTTATTGAATAGAGTAACTGTGATTACAGTGTGTAGATTACTTGACTACTACAAATAAAAAATAAGCATACTTGCCTTTGAAAATGTGTAAATAATCAATGTAATCAAAATACTTTGTGGTCATTAAAGTCTAGCATCCTGTCTGAGAAATGGTACCCTTCAACCCTAAAGTAGGTCTCGCTTTATAATCTAAGCAGGCCTTGAACTTGGCTGTGTGGCCTTGGTTTAACTCAAACTTGTATTCTCTCCTCAGCCTCCTGAGTCATGTTTGCATACAGCTAGAAGTGATCTTTTACTATATGTATTTTATATTATGCATAGGAGTTTCATAACTACACTATTCTTTTTGCATAATTGCTTGGTGATTGAGATACTATTCCATTTTGCTTAATGAAATATTCACATGGCTTAGATGCGTTCTCAACACTGCTAATGCCTGACATGGTGCATACACCTGTTATCCCAGCACATGGGATTCAGAATATCTGCCACAGAGTTTGTGTGTTCTAGTGCTGGGTTTCAGATGTGGACCATCCCACCTGCCTCTCTCTTCATTTTATGTTGTAGTAGCAACAATAAGTGGATCTCTGTCCCCTGGCTTTTATCTTGTCTCCCTCTCAGATTGATTGTTTCCTTTCCCTGCTCCATTGTTAGGATTGAGGTAGAACATCTTGTTTGCTCATTCTCAAGTGGTCAGGCTTTGGCAGGATGAATGTATAGGCTTCTGCATAGAAATCCCGTGCTACTGCCCAACAAGCTGCACTGCTACTCTTAGCCAGTGGTTTCATTGCATAGACAAGAAACTCTAAGAGTAGACAAGAAACTCTAGTTTCTTGTCTGTAGATAGAATTACAGTAGCTAATGCTGTTTATTAGACTCTGCTTATATATGGATCAGTCAGTAAAGACTGAACTTTTAAAAGAAATCTACATTTTCAAATTTTAGAAACACTTTCTTATATTATGGAAATGTGTGATATATAATGAATATTTTCAGATCCTTAGTGACTGGTATTTTAAACACATGGTATTATGAGTTTAAACACCATACTTTCTACGGATACTCTTTGGAAATAAATTGAGTTTGGAATTCTCAAATCTAGTACAGTAACTTGGAAGTGCTAGTGCCATCAAGTGGCTGCTTGTTGCATATATGTATTTTGAGATTTCAAAATACATTTGTATTTTATACATTGTCAGACAATGTATTTCTATAAACATGAACCAGATGCTATAATGAATCATTCATTCCTGATCAGTTGCTTAAATTATGGTCTAAGCACAATGCTCCCTTTAAATGGGAATTTATTAAATGATTGTTTTTTATGAATAGATACTAATCATGTCCATATGTTCGAATAGCAGTTCAGTCTAAGCACTATAAAGGTTAGGGCATGAAAATGGGAATTCAAGGTTATGAGGTTAAATAGGGAGAGCCTGTTTGAAAAAACAAAACAATTCACTGCATGACGATAATTGAATATTACTCCACATTATATTAGGTGACTTATTTTATGAAAATAATTTTCTCTCTTATAGAACCAAATAGAAATTAGCTGAGTCCTCAGTATTGTGAAAGTATGTATTTTAGAATGCTATGTGTATTTATATAGGAATATATATATATATGTACATATATATATGTGCATATATGTGAACTTAGAATCATAAAAGAGAAAGGCAACTCAAAATTTACAGAAGTGTACATATCTATGTAGAAAACTGATTTTGGTTATAAATACAACACTAAATATTACTAAAATTACTTTAAAGTTTTTATTTTAAGTAGACTATCATACCTTCTTGGCAGAGAAACTGAAATATCTCTGCACCTTTTTGTGTTTCATAACTTTTCTGACAGTTTTAAGTTTAATTTGTAATGTACTAGTTTTCAGATTTTCCTCAGACAGCAAATAAAAGTAGATGCTTCATTTCAGCCACTAACCATGGCTTCTCTCTCCTTCCCATCAGTGTCAACACCCTTCTATGTAATAAGCAGACAGGACCCTGCAGCTTTGTGAGCCATGGGGTCCCCAGCATCCACTCATTACTACTTGTATAATGCAGAAGCAGCTATGGCCAGCACAGGAGTTAGCAGAGCTGGGCTCCAATAAAACTATGGTTGTTAAATTTCTCATGTCATAAAACATATGTTGAAATTCTTTCCACTGTTAAAATTAATGTAAAACTAGCTTTGTTATGTAGCTCAGTGGCATTTTGTTTGCCTATTTGGCTTACATGGAGCCTGATTTTAATCCCCAGCATTCAAAGAATAAAAATATAAAGCCATTCTTAACTGAGAAATTATATAAAAATCTAGAAGGTCAGATTTGAACCACAGACCACTGTTTGGCAGTTTGTGCTTTACTAGATACTTTTTGAAGTGCTTCCTGTGAGTACTCTGCTAAGTACAAACAGAAAACAGCATAAGCATGAATTCATTGTGATGTGATCAGAATTGGAAAGATTGCTAAGATTTGTGCCTGGGTTCTGCATATGTTTTTCTTGTTTTGTTCTTGAGATGGGGATTTACTCTAGTCCAGCTAGCCTGTAGCTTGCTGTGTAGTGCAGGCTGGCCTCAAAGACCCAGTCCTTGTCCCTCATAGTACTATACAGACAGCTCTTGGCTTTTCAAAGGTTGTTTTTAAAAATTATTTCTGTCTGTTTGAGATTATAACAATTACATCATTTCCCTCCTCCCTCTAAGCCCCCCTATATACTTCTCATTGCTCATGGTCAAAAATCATTGCTTCATTTTTCATTAATTGTTGTTACATGCTCATGTGTTCTATTATATTCACTGTATCTGGTTTTCTGTGGTGGTCCTTGATCTACTTGGACACATGGGCACAAGGGAAAATTTCCTGAACAGAACACCAATGGCTTGTACTCCAAGATCAAAAATTGAGAAATAGGACCTCATAAAATTACAAAGCTTCTGTAAGGCAGAGGATACTGTCAATAGGACAAAATGGCAACCAACAGATTGGGGAAAGATCTTTACCAATCCTACATCTGATAGAGGGCTAATATCCAATGTATACAATATATACAAATATATATAAATATATTCAATATATAAAAAGAACTCAAGAAGTTAGACTCTAGAGGAGTAAATAGGGAACAGAGCTAAACAGCGAATTCTGAACTGAGAAATATTGAAAGGCCAAGAAGCACCTAAAATGTTTAACATCCATAGTCATCAGGGAAATGCAAATCAAAACGATCCTGAAATTACATCTCCTACCAGTCAGAATGACCAAGTTCAAAAACTCAGGTTACAGCAGATGCTGGGGAAGATGTGAAGAAAGAGGAACACTCCTCCATTGTTGGTGGGATTGCAAGCTGGTACAACCACTCTGGAAATCAGTCTGGTGGTTCCTCAGGAAATTGGACATAGCATTACTTGAGGACCCAGCAATACTACTCCTGGGCATATACCCAGAAGATGCTCCAACATGTAACAAGAACACGTTCCACTATGTTCATAGCAGCCTTATTTATAATAACCAGAAGCTGGAAACAACCCAGATGCCACTCAACAGAGGAATGGATACAAAAAAATGTGGTACATTTACACAATGGAATACTACTCAGCTATTAAAAACAATAAATTCATGAAATTCTTAGGCAAATGAATGGAACTTGAAAGATCATCCTGAGTGAGGTAATCCAGTCACAAAAGAACACACATGGTATGCTCTTACTGATCGCGGATATTAACCCAAGAGCATGGAATACTCAAGATACTATTCACAGACCATATGAAGCTCAAGAAGAAGGAAGACCAAAGTGTGGATGCTTCAGTGCTTCTTAGAAGGGGGAACAAAATACTCACAGGAGCAAATATGGAGACAAAGTGTGGAGCAGAGACTGAAGGAAAGGCCATCCAGAGACTGCTCACATGTGGATCCATCCCGTATACAATCACCAAACCTGGATGCTATTGTGGATGCAGGAAAGTGCTTGCTGACAGGAGACTGATATGGGATGCAGGAAAGTGCTTGCTGACAGGAGACTGATATGGCTATCTCCTGAGTGGCTCTGCCAGAGCCTGGCAAATACAGAGGCAGATGCTTGCAGCCAACCATTGGACTGAGTGCGGGGTTCTGATGGAGGAGTTGGAGAAGGGACTGAAGGAGCTGAGGGGGTTTACAGCCCTGTGGGGGAAGCACCAGTGTCCAAAGGCCACACGTCCCCGGAGCTCCCAGGGAGTGGACCACCAACCAAAGAGTACACATGGAGAGGGACCCATGTCTCCATCCGTGTATGTGGCAGAGGATGGAGCCTTGTTGGACATCAGGGGAAGGAGCAGCCCTTGGTCCTGTGGGAGTTCGATCCCCCAGTGTATGGGAATGCCAGGGCAGGAAGGTGGGAGTGGGTGATTGTGTGGGTGGAGGAGCACCCTCATAGAGGCAGGAGGAGGGCGGATGGGATAGGGAGTTTCTGGAGGGGAGACCTGGAGAGGAGATTACATTTGAAATGTAAATAAAAACATATCCAAGAAAGAAAAAAAGGAAAAAATTGTTACATGCATATATGTATATGCTTACACAAATATATGCTTAAATATAATGTTCTCAGTATGTATACTGTTACTTGTATATTTATTCTCAGGACTTCGTACTGGTATTGGATAACCAACTGATGAACTAACTCTTCCCCAGGGAAGACCATTTCTCCACCCAGCAATGCTTAGTTGCTCTAGTTCTTTGTGTGGGGATGAAGCTTCCTAGTCTTTCTTTCTGCCCAGTTTGGCCTATTACTGTTGTTCTTGTTTAGCTTATGTTTTTAATTGAAAATTATTTATGCCTTATACCAGGAACAAAACTATGTCAATAAAAGTTTATTATTTTTCTGAAAATTAGATAAAGATTGATCAGTGTCATGAATACTTTATCACTATTGATGACCAAAATTTGTCCTTACCTTTAAGTCATAATGAATGCTAATTAGCAACTTTATGTCTAGTAAGAGGAAGATTATTCTCTAAGTTTATGTTTTCTCTATGATTTTAAGTCATTATAAGTATACTTTATTCCAAATGTATCTATAATATGAAACAATAAAATATCCTGTGAAATAAAGGAACCATATTCACCTTTAAAAAAAAAAAGCTGGAATAATCCTAATTAGAGGTCAGATTCTTTAGTGAGATGCATATTTGAGAGTATTACGTTGGTGAAGGGCTGCTGTCCAGCATGTGCAAAACCCCAAATTTATCCCCAGCACTGAAGAATCAATAATAATCACCATAATAAGAGTTACAATTGCTGTTTTTGTGTGGATAACACTAGGAGTGCTGTGACTTGTGTCCTTTCTTTGCAGGTGAATACGCCTTGGCAGCGGAGCTCTACAGAGAAGTATTACGTTCGTCTGAGGAACACAAAGGAAAACTCAAGACGGATTCACTTCAAGTAAGTGCAGCCTGAAAAATTTCAAGTATATATTCAAATTACTTTAAACAACAATTTTTCAAAATGTTAATGTTAAAGTAAAGGGTAACAATGAATTGAGTCAGAATTACTAGAGGTAAAAGCTGGGATTCCTTTTTAATATCTTGAATGATTTGTGTATATAATAAAGTTTGAAAATCAACATTCTTTCTATGTCGGCCTATAGCCTACACTGGGAGATAGTTTGAATTATTTGTAATTTAGAGAGTAGGCTAATTTTATAATTTTTCCATATAACATCAACATATTTGTTAAATAGTTTTCATCAAAATGAAAAAAAATAGCTAAACAAAGTAAACTGACTATGTAAATAAGCACACTAAATAAATGTGACCCCCTTGATCTTCTAAGCTAGACTTTTAGAGGCCTTTTAGGAGGAGATGTATGTTTGAATTATGCCAGTAACTGTGTTTTTCAAGCGTACTGCAGGTAAAATTCTAGCTAAGTGAGATGTAAAGACACACGTCCTAACCTTGGCAGGCCTGGGCTTCATAGCTAGGGAAGTTGACTTTTCAGGCTTTATAACTTACATATTCATGTGATACAGTGGACATTTGGAAAGGAGTATAAGAAGGACAGGGTTGGAGCACAGGTTAGCTGAACAGCAAGGCAGGAAATGGACCTTAAACACATGTGAGTACCTAATGGGAAATATGTCCTGCTCTTGAAAAAGATAAATAAATGTGCAAGAAGGGCAAGGAGACAGTTTGAGTTCCAAAGCTTTGAATTTAATATCCAAAGATGAGTGATGAGCTTGGTTCTTGCTTTTCATTAGTTCACCTCTGCTGACAAGCAGTGTTGCTCACTTAATCCTTACTTGGTCCAGTCAGCTCAGCAGTGCTCTTCTGGGATAAAATGCTGCACATATCTTTCCCTCTAATTACTTGTACAAAACTGGTATCTCCTCTTCCACAAGTATACACAGAGAAGATGAAACACATATCTCTAGTATCATTTGCAGATTTTTACTATTAAATCTATTAGTACTATGCACCATGTGATTTAAGAAGCCAGGTTGAAAATGGTTAAGACAGTTGAAGTAATGTAGACTCCACAGAAACTTACACTATAGCTAGTAATTTATGCCCAGATAGAAAGAACACTGAACGTCTTGAATCATATTTTGGCACCAAATCATATTTGAGCAGAAATCTCTCGTAATAATCTTGTGATGCTAGCTATCTTCCCAGGTAAAATATAAATTTAAGAGTGAAACTACTGTGATTTCATTTCAGTTCTGTTCATTGCTTCTAACCTTTAGTAAGCTGCTGACTCAGTATCAGGGCAGAAGTAGATTTGTGCATTAACACAGAAATACAGAGTTTTTTCTTCTTCCACTAATCTCTTCAACTCCAACTTTCCCCCTTTTCATCCTTTAAGCTTGGTGTATTCGAGTACACCTATATATCTGTTTGTTCCTGAGTACGTAGCTGTTGTTGTAAATGCTATCAATTAACTCTATTGTTAATATGACCTAGCCAGCCCATCAGTAATCCTACTGATTTATTTAATCATCTTAGCGCAGCTACTGGGTGATTATCCCTAATCTATTTTTCTATGCTAAATTTGACTATTTCCCAGCTGCACTTACTCTCCAAGTTACTTGCTATTTGAGTCTCACCGGGCTCCTTTTTTGTCGTCAGTCTGTCTTCAGGGGCACTACTTTTGGCCCCATGTTGGGCACCAATTAATGCTATTAATTAACTCTGCTAGGTCTTAATATGACCCAGCCAGCCCCTTCCCCGCAGTAATAGAGACATAGTCCTATTGATTTATTTAATCAGCTTTAGCATAATTACTAGATGATTACCCCTAAACTATTTCTTTATACTAGACTGGCTATTTCCTACCTGTGCTCCCCAAGCTACTTGCTGGTTCAAGTCTTGCCAGGGTTATTTCTACTCCTTCAGTCTGTCCTTGGGGCATATTTGTCATGGCCATATGCTCCTGGCCCATCGCATCTAATGTAAACCTTTTGTTCTCTTATCTGCTTTCTTCTCCCTCTCCTGTGCTCCCTACCTGAGACTCCCAGCCTGCTAACCAAAACCCTGCCTACCTCTATCTCTCTAGTAGTTGGCTATAGCCAATTTTATTCAGCAGTCATAGAAGATTGGCGAGCAATGTTTATACAACATCATTTGGTGTATTTGAGAATCTGCTCATTGGGAGTGCAAACAGATCCTGGGGGCCAGTATTTAGTATTTGGATACATAGCAGCACCAGAACAACCTCCAACACATAGCCATGCTGCAGAAAAAAAAAAGTGTATTTTTAATTTAAAAAAATTGATGTTATCATTAAACACGTTTGCTGTTCTTTTTCCTCTGGCCAGGGGTGGGGGGGACGTTACTCAAATATTTTCAAAGGAAAACTATTTGACAATATAAACTTTGAATTCATTCCCTATGTGCCATACTGTAGATTCTCTGATGTCTGCTGCCTTGCATCATAGCTTCACCTTTTCTTTGTTTGTAGAGACTTCATGCCACACATAACTTAATGGAGTTGTTGGTAGCCAAACACCCAGGGATACCTCCCACTTTGAGAGATGGCAAACTTGAAGAAGAGGTAATTGTTAGTCTTTTCATTCTTGCTATAAAAGTTTACGTTTTCAAATTTTATACTTCATCTAGTTGATACTTCTACATAACATTTAAATAAATGTAGCCAGCCATGTTTTCCTGTGATTTTACAGTATTTTTAACCCTTTGTATTTGTTAAAAAGAGTAATTTTTATTGACAAAATTGTATACATTTATAGATTCATACAGATACTGTGGAGTGGAGTGGCTAACAGCATAAGTTATTTTTCCCCATTATCTTATGAGCTTGATTTTTATAGTAAAAATATTTCACATCTACTTTCAGTAGTATAATGTAACTATAGTCACTGTACTATAATCCTTTGACAAGTATTCCCCTATATCTACAGTCCCTAGCAACTACTATTCTCTATTTGTATGACTTCTAACTGAAGTCATGCAGATTTATCTTTCAATGCTTCAATTGTTTTATTTAGTATAATATCCTCTATGTTTATACAGAAAATTTTCCTTTTTTGAAAGCTGAACAGTATGCCATTGTGTGGTTGGTGTGTGTGTGTCTGTCTGTGTGTGTTTTATCACTTTTTTTTCAACTCTATATGTATATGTCATGCATATGTGTATGCAGGCTCTCCTTTGTTGGTAAATGTGTGTGCATGAATATAGAGGCCCAAGATTGATGTCAGGAATCATCCTGGAAGGCTCTTCTGTTTCATTCTTTGAGGCAGTTTCTCTGAGTCAATACATAGCTCAGTGATAGAGATAGTCTTGCTACTCATCTTGTTCAGGGAATCCTTCCTCCCAGTCTTCCAAGGCTAGATTTAAAGGCAAGCTCTCATGTCCTCTGGCATGTATATGAGTTCTGGAGATCTGAGCTCTGGTCTTCTTACTTGTTGGGCATGCACTGTAAGCACTGAGCTATCTCCCTACCTCTGTACACCATATTTTTTTATGAATTATTTGTTCACTATAATTTTAAAAAGGTGAAAGAGTGGTAACATTTTTTTAATTCCTGCAAGTATTAGTCCACTAGGAATACCATAACAGAATACTAGGCCGGGAGGCTTAAAGAATAAATATTTCTTACAGTTGAGAAGTTGAAGTCCAGAGTCAAAGTGTATGTCCTCAAACCATGGGTTTAATTTCTCTTGCAGCTCCTCTCTTTGATTTAGATACCACTATTTTCTTGTTGCCTTTCATTGACACCTGTACACTCCCAGTATTTCTTTTCTTATAAGGATTGCACTAGGGCATCACTCATGTGGCCCTCTTTAGCCTTGGTTAGCTCACAGGCCTTTTCTCCAGGTGCAGTCACACTGAGGGTAGGATGTCTATGTACAAATCTTGTAGGAACAGGTTCAATTCTAACACCATTATTACTGTGTAACTCAAGAGTTATTTTTAAATGATGGCAGTTCTTAAAAGTACTACAACTAAATCCGACAAGTAATTCTGTAAGATCGCAGCTCACTTGTGAAATATTAATGTCTTTTTATCTTGTAAGGAATAAATCACAAGGCTTTTTAAAATTTTGTGGCTTTAGCATATTAGTTTTGTTCTTTTCATTGTCTGTTTTAGGAATTTCTAGAATATTTCTTATAATATGAAATTTTATGTTTAAATCCAAGAACTTTAAATATATGGAGTGACTACATTCATTGTTCCTGAAACATAATACTAAACTATGATCAATATCTCAAGTGAAAGTTTATATTGACTTTATATTTCCACACAGGCCAAGCAGCTTCGAGAACACTATATGAGTAAGTGTAACACAGAAGTTGCCGAAGCTCAGCAAGCCCTGCAGCCTGTGCAGCAGTCCATTAGGGAGCTCCAACGGAAGGTACTTGTCACCCGATAGCATTTTGGATCTATTTGTTTGGGTTTTGTTTGAACTTTTTGTTTCCCTTCAAATTCTTAGCACCTATTTGTGTGCCTATAACACAGATATCTTAGTTACTTTTCTCTTGCTTTCACAAAACATCTTGATCAAGGCAACTTATGGAAAAAATTGAATTATTTAATTGGGCTTATGATTTCAAAGGTTAGGTGGCAGAACAAAGGCACAGAGACTGAAACAGCTAAGAGCTCATGTCTTGATCCATATGTGTGAGACCGAGAAAGAAATTATCCTGGAAATGGAGGGAGTCTTTTGAAACCACAAAGCCCACTTGCATGACACACTTCCTTTGAGCCGTATCTCCTAATCCTTGCCAAATACTTCTACCAACTTGGAACCTAGAATTTAAACATAATAGCTTATGCGGGCCATTCTCACTCAAACTACCACAGTAAGTATATTTACAGTTAGTGGTGTCTATTCCGTGGAGTGAACTAGTATGTTGATGAGTCTGCTGTGTTGAAATTTTGTTTTCTTTTAAATTATGGTGGATTTCTTTTATGTTGGATAAATAACAGTTTATCCTTTAAAGAAAAGATAAAGACTTCTATAATCTCTCTTTGATTTTAGCAGTGTATGACCCACAGTTAGATTGCAGGTATTACTCTTGCAGACTAGATACTTGTCCTTTCTGAGTTTCTTTTTTTCACACCAGAGCAAAATCTTAACAGGAAACAACACAAATACATAGACTTTTACTTCAAATTTTTTATCAGTTGTTTCCCATGTTATGATTCCTAATTCATTAATTAATTAGTTCCTAGTTGTAATTTTGTTATGTATTGGGGTGGAATTTAGTTCAGTATTCATTGATTAGATCTAACCTTTCTTTAGTGTGTTGTCTTTTACATTTAGTTTTTATTTTGGTAAAAATCTTTTTGAAACAGCTTTGATACACAAATTTTACATAGAATATCATTCGTCTAGAGTATTCCAAAAAATAGCTCTCTTGGTATGAATACAAAAGAAGTATTTGCCCAATATACACAGTTTGGGTGTCTTTCTGTGTGAAATAGATATATAAATACAGTTTTATCAGTTATAATCCTTTGAGAACAGAATTTATCAATATTTTTTTCATTTTCATATCTCCTTTCCCAGTGAATGCTAAATATATGCAGTAATTGATCACTTTTGGCCTTTTTTTCCAGATTCACTCTAATTCTCCTTGGTGGCTGAATGTAATCCATAGAGCAATGGAATTTTCTGTTGATGAAGAACTTGTTCAGCGGGTGCGAAATGAAATAAGCAGTAACTACAAGCAACAAACTGACAAGCTCTCTATGTCAGAGAAGTAAGACAATAATACAAAACTGAATCACTGTATACAAGTGTTCAGATAATTTAGTATCAGGAGGTGCATGCAGTCCAGTGTCCCAACAGGAACATCTAGGGCTTATAGCTTAATTATTTAAAACAAAAGTATTTGATATTAAGTATAAAACAGGGATCTTTTTTCTTCTGTTAGCCATTTGACATGTTCTCCTTTTAGAGCCTTGAGGGTCTGTTCTTTGTTGCTGTTGTTGTTTCATACGTATTCTTGTTGGCTTGAGATAGGGTCTAAGTAGCCCTATCCTGAACTCATTATATAGACCAGGATGTTCTTCAACTTGCAGATCCACCTGCCGCTTGCCTCTGCCCCTACCTCTGCCCCCCTGTGCTGGGATTAAAGGCTTGTAGCACTACATCTAACTTAATTGCATTTTTATAACAAGAAATAGTACTCTTATCCATTTTTTCTTCTCAACTTTGTTTTGTTTTAGACCGTATAGTATACTCTCCTTAAATACAAAAAGAATGTCAAAAGACTGTCTGTAGTCATCTAGCCTTAGAAAGCTAGACTGTATTAGTCCTGATTTTTGAAAGATACTGTATCCTCTCTTTTAGGTCCCAAGAATAGAATTACCAAACTTTTTGGTATCTTTTTGTAACAGGCTTTGCATTTTATTAAACCTTGAGTAGGAACCAGTGGGTAGACTCTGAACGGAAGTCTCAGTGGAGTGCGTAAATTTGCCAGTTTCATTAACACCATGATTGACACACATTTTCTGAGGAAACTGACTTATTTCCTTTGTGTTATATGCTGTGCTGCTGATGGGAATAAGGTTTCGTGACTGCAGAGGTCTTCAGTTCTTACTTACAACACAAATGGAAGAGCTCCATAAGTTCCAGAAGCTAGTGAGGGAGGCTGTGAAGAAGCTGGAGAAGCCTCCGTCCCGTGATGTGATTGAGTCTGCAACTGTCTGCCACCTGCGGCCAGCTAGACTCCCTCTCAACTGGTAGGTGTCTGGGGAAGTTCTACAGGGTCCAGCATCTTCTAGGAAGACACTTTGACCTAAGAAATGGTTCATCATAAATTGAACCATTTTATCTTAATTCAGATAGATATAGAGATACATGTTTTAAACTAAAGCAAATCAAGGATTGTGTGCTTGAAAACCAAATCATTTTTTTCTTAAGTGCTCTACTTGTTAGAAAAATAAAATACAAAATGCTGGCTTTTTTTTTTAAATGATATTATTGCTCATCATATTTGTAAATATTTCTCTGATAATCTCTTTCAGCTGTGTCTTTTGTAAAGCTGATGAATTGTTCACAGAGTATGAATCAAAGCTATTTTCTAACACGTAAGTTCACTGATTATTACTCATGAGAAAAAGTAAACATTTCAAAAGATTAAAGTCTTTATTATGCAACTGTATTTTCTGTTACGATCTTTGGTATATTTTTCCTGTATTAAATCAGTTTAGTAATCCTTGGGCATTTAACATGCCCATTTTTTTCTCGATAGAAGCTGTAGCTAAGTGTTTATAAGGGATAGTCTGTAATTGTAGTTGAGGAGAAATTGAGAGTAGTAGTAAGATCCGAGCCTCAATACTATGATGAATTTGAACTCAAATCCTTGACCACTGTCGAGAGCAAATTACCTCTTTGACCCTCATGAAGTTAAGGTAACAACTTAATCTACAATTAAGTATTGAATAAGAAAATATATATAACTATTTAGCAGAAGGCTAGTACATACTAAGTACCTAATTAAAAAATTATAGTGCTTATTATTTTTGTCATCAAAAAACTTAGGCTTTGTTGGGATTGTTGTACTTGGCATGTCTGTATCCCGATTGTGGCCTTTGCCCTGTTGCCACTATGTCTTGTTTTTGGTTTTTAATGCCTGGTAATGATGGTGGCTCAGGATTCTTAGAATGTAATTTGTAGAATGAGATTTAAAGGGTTTTGTTTTTGTTGTTGCTATCAGGGATTGAGCTTGTAAAGCAGAAACACACATGTGTAATCTTAACCTTTGAAAGCTGGAAGTAGGACAGTAAGGCGTTCAAGGCCAGCCTCTGCTACATAGTGACTAGGAGGCTAGTCTGAACTACGTGAGACCCTGTCCCAAAAGTATAAAACAAAAAATGAAGCACAAGACAATTCTTAGGATTACTATTTTTTACTTAGGACCTACAAATGCTCTTACTAATGTGAAAATTACTGTAGAGTATTGAACTGGCTTGTGTGACCTGCTGGCCTTGCTCATTTGCAGTGCTAGTTACTCATTGGTGACAGTTAAAATTACTTGGTTCTGGTATCTCTTCAGAGTCAAAGGCCAGACTGCGATCTTTGAAGAAATGATAGAAGATGAAGAAGGACTTGTGGATGATAGAGTACCTACCACTACCAGAGGCTTGTGGGCCGTAAGTGAGACGGAGCGATCTATGAAAGCAATATTATCATTTGCAAGATCACATAGGTTTGACGTTGAATATGTAGATGAAGGAAGTGTTTCAATGGATCTCTTCGAGGCATGGAAGAAGGAATATAAGGTACACTGTTTTTAAACTTCCAAAATTAAAAACCTTTTTACATTAACTTGAAAATCTGCTTTGGAAACTGTATGTCATTTTCTTCATTAAATTAGTAAACAAAAGCTGACATTTGCAGTTAATATGTAAAAGTATTTAATTGTGCGTTTTATTGTAACCTGCATCTTAATAGCTATTTTATGAAACTAGCATTTGACTTTATTTTGTTTTTGTAATGGGGAATAACAACCAAATATCAGTATCAACTTTGAATATTGGGAAGCATAGTAAATATCTTCCAAGTTGGAAATCTGGAAAGCATTACAATGGATACAGCACAAAGTAGCCTTTAGTTTTTTACTTCAGTGATTCCATTGCATTCTAATGTGTGAGATGTACATCTCGTATTTTTTTTTATTAAATCAGTTTTCATATTTGTTGTATTTTGATCTTTGCATGTGAGATGGGTATGGGAGACAGAATACCTTTACATTATATGTCATATTTGCGTGTTGCTATTTTTATAATTTTTTTTAAAACAAAAGGTTTTGTATTGAGAAGATATTTTATCTAGGTAAAATGCCAGCTCAAACATTTGATAAGTTGAGAAATGATGCTTTTATAAAGGTGAAGTCATTAGTTCATTGTAATTGTTATAGAGGTAATGCACATGGGCACAGTTCTTTACAGCAGACCGTGAAGGAAGACAGTGCCCTGTACAGTGCCTCCCTGCCTGCCATTCCTGCACTGTTCTCTGTAGCCTGCTCGTGTCATGTGCTTTGAGCTTAGGTGAGGGCTTATCATGCCTCTCTCCATCTTTGTGCATTTTTCCTTTATACCTTTGTACAAGAAATGGAAAACCAATGAGTAGATGTACCAACTAGTATCTACTTTAAAATATGATAGTAAAGACAGCTTATCAAAATATATAGTGATTGGTAACATTTTATAAGTTTTGAAAAACTTGTGTAACTGCTTATAGCATTTTCCCAGTGAAAAGTAGGATTAAAAGTAATTGCTTGTCTTTGAAGGAGGAAGAATAAGGAGAGAATAATAATATTAGGGCTCTCTAAGGAATTTGCCTGATTAAGTCTCTTTAATTGGATAGTCTTTGATCAGTTATTTCAGAAATCTTCCCATATTTGCAAATTATTTTGAATATCTCTTGAATTAGATAGTTTATGGTCAGTTACTTCAGAAATCTCACATTTCTAAATTAGCCTAAGTAACTGCTTTTCCTTGAAGGTTAATGAAAACATGTAGGCCTCCTTTGAAGCCTTTTGCTCAAAGTACATCTTGGTGATTTTGGACAATTTTAATCTGGTTTCTTGCTCCTGTCTTTATGTTTCCCCATCAGTTACTTCATGAATACTGGATGACTCTGAGAAATCGTGTATCTGCTGTTGATGAACTTGCAATGGCTACAGAGCGACTAAGAGTGCGCCATCCCAAAGAGCCAAAGCCAAACCCACCTGTCCATCACATCATTGAACCACATGAGGTAGTTAAGAATCGATCGCAAGAAAGGCCCCAGCAAAAATCCAAAATGTACTGAAGACATAAAGCCAAAGCAGCAATGTCTGTTTGTTACTGTCATAAAAATGAGCAATTTCATTTGTATGTGGTATATCCTTAGTGTGTCCACTATTTTTATTTTTGCACATTCTATTTTTGAATACTTTGTATGCATCAAATCAAATAGATATTCTTGGTCACTTTTAGAAGGATTTTATAGCCTCAGTTTTAACAGAATTTGAAAAACATATTTCTTAAAAGTAACTAACAGCTTTTATTTTTGCACGTTTTTCTCTCTTGCAAAGAGTAGATATTTACAATGTGTACTGTAGTAATCTCCATTTGTGTCAGGATTCAATCAGAATTCTTTCTTATGGCATAACAAACATATTTCCTGTGTTATTTATGTTTAACCTTTATGGATATTTTAATATTTTGAACTGATTTCTTTTTGTAAAGAATTTAGAATATGATTTAGAAAAAGTTTAAGATATTTTTGTTATATACTATCTTAAATATGAATTGGTAGTGATGTTTTTCTTCAAATGTATGTCTTAGTCTTAAGTTTACAGCACTACAAACATAAGTAATAAGGAAATCCCCTCTTATCTAATTCTCTTTTCTTTCTGATGTATTGCAGAAGAGGAAGAAAAGTCAGGGATAATATTCCTGTATTTTATAAACCACACATACCAAGCAGTGTATTGTGTCATTGTCTTCATCCTATGCATGTATTATTTAAAAGTGGCACAGAAATAGGGTTCAGATTGATTTTTATCCAATTTCCTATATATCACGATGCTGCTTTCTAAAAGAACTTTATGGAAATCTGACTTCTGTTTAAAAAAAAAAATCCTTTTAAACTATGTTTTCAGTATTAATCTTGTTTGTTGTTTTAAAACAAACACTAACAATTTATTAAAACCAATGCTTAAAATAAACACAACATTGAAGAGATCAGAAAGAGTAAAAAGGATATTTGTAAGGGGAGGGGAAGGCTGGCTTTGGGGCTGGAACTGTCAATATTAATCTTGTAAAATTAAGTTTTAATGTAAAAATGGTATTTTGTGGGATGGGATATGAATTTGATTATTCAGAAAAACTATGTATGTTTAATATCTTTTTGAGAGGGAATGAAGAGTTTGTTTGTTTCTAGGTTGAACAGAATCGTATAAAACTGGTGAATGATAAAGCTGTTGCTACATCACAGCTTCAGAAGAAACTTGGACAGCTTCTTTACCTAACTAATTTGGAGAAGGTATAGCTTTTAAAATGCTGTTTTCCCTATACTATCTTTTAAGAAACACTTTAGTGATATTTTCCACTGAAAATATCAGTCCTATAATGAATAGGACAGACTTTTTGTTTGTGTTAGATGAATCAAGATTACTTTTGCCTACAATAATTATATAGACCCTCTCTGCTAAACCCTCAGTTCAGCCTCTGCCCCTCCCTGACTAGGGAGATACCTTACCAACTGCAATGATCATCAACCGTTATATCTCCAGAAACATCTTATCTCCCGGCCCACCTCATCCAGGAAAGTACCTGGATGACCTGCAAAATTGTGTAAAATATATGATTAATTGTTTTTAACCATGATGTTGTAGGTGATTTGCTTTGTGTGATCTGAAACAGATCAATACTATGATGAAATAATTTATTCAACTCTTTTAAATGACTGTATAAGCTAATTTCTGGATCTTTATAGATACTGAGTTTAAGTAGTTTTGTCTTTTTATAATTACTTAGAAATTAAATGTTTTCTTTAATGTTAGAATATTTGGTTAGTGAAATCAGAAAAAAAAAATCTTTAGTTGTCTTCAATTTTAAGACCTGTCTACCTTGCTGACTATCAAACTCTTTAAAATGTTATAAGAATTTTAAGGAGGTGTTTGAATCTATTACAGTTTGATACAGTTTCTAGACACACCAGTGTCAACACTATTAATACAGAATTGTGCTAAGTCACAACCTTTTCCCACGTCTGTCCTTGTGCTAAGTGACAGCCTTTTCCCATGCCTGTTCTTGGGCTACATATGCATAAGTGCATACTTGTGCTGTAATAGCTAAGAAGCTGTTTGTTTCAAAGCTCTAAATTTAAAGTGTTTTTAAGTAATTCTTTTTTTTTCCAGTTAAAAAAAAAAGAGAGAAATAAAGGGGTCTCATGTAGTCAGAGCTCCCTCAAGATTACCTTCAACCTCCTGATTTATTTGTTTCTATCTCCCAAGTGCTAGGATTACAGTTGTGTGTCACTATAACAGTTATTAATTTATGTCTTTACAATAAAATATAGTCTGAGAATAAATTTTAAAAATTTAGCTCTTTGTATTTTGATTTTAAATTTGCTTTCTATTGTAATCACAAGTATAGTAGCATGATACTGTAAACTGTAGTTAAAAAAAAGGGGTTTCCTTGCTTTTAGTTGTGTCCTGAATTAATTCCAGAAATAGTAGTAGTAGTATTGGGTAATATATACTATATTAGGTGACATAATTGATGATAGTTAGATAATTAAGATTGAAATTACCAGCATAGACTCCTACAAATGAATTTCAGAGCATGCTTCAAGTCCTAAATATGAAAACATAGCTAACATGTTTTGGGATTCTTTTTTTCTATAGTCTCAAGACAAAACATCAGGAGGTATCAATCCAGAGCCTTGTCCAATCTGTGCTCGACAGCTGGGAAAACAGGTAAGGTGATAATAAGCATCACATGAATTCATAAAACACCTTACAATGTATAAGGCTTCTACATCTAGCTAGTTTTTCTCTGTGTCTTATGCATGCATACAAATATATGCACTTTCTCATAACTGTGAAAGAGTTTAGTTCTCAGGTAGAGTCAGAGGTTGAATTGACATTCTTAAGGTTACAAATACATGAGTCGTCTTTTTCCTAACTAAAAACTTAACCCTAGAACAACCATATCTTTTTCATTAAAGATGCGTAGTTATATACATTTCTAGACAAGTCATTAATTTTGCCACATTAACATATTTGGTAATTGAACAAAGTATAACATAACACAAGTTTAGTAGTACAGAGGCACAGTGATGTAGCTCCTAATAACAGTAAGATGTTAAAGTACAGATAGCTTCTCCTAACAGAATCAAATGTGAAGTTTCCTGTTTTGGAGATTGGAGGAAATAAGCAGTAGCTTGTGTGTATTAGTATAAAATGCCTGTAAACATGATGGCATAATTTTAGTTCATTGAGAATTTTTATTCTGTCTATTGATTTATTCTTGCTTTTTGTGGTAAATCAGCATAAATAGTATCAGAATTTGAGTTACTTTTCAACTTTTAAAAATTGGCCTATTTTACAATGGATTTATTTTCCCTGTGGAATTAAGTACAGAGTTAAATATATCATTTCTATGTTCTGATGAGCAATAATTGGGGAAAAAAGGGCCTTTTAATCTAACATTTACAGAGAAAGATATTCTCAAAAGAGACTGTTAATCTTAAAAGGGAAGCTGCTACATTAAACATTGAGCAGCAGAATAGACATATATAATAGTGTATTATAATAATAATGTCTGATTCAAATAAAAACAACATTATTAAGGAAGGGATTAGGCCTTAGGGTTGTTGTGTTACCTAGCATGCTGTTAGCTCTCGGTCCAAGCTTTAGCACCAGAAGCACCAGAAAGGTGGAGTTGGTTTGGGTCAGAATAATGTCTTCTGAAATTTTAGCTTTAGTGAGATTCATTTACCTACCTCTGAAATTTTATTTTGTCTTACTACAGTTTTGAAAATTTCTTCATATATATTTCTTTAGTATTACCAATGTTTTCTGAACTTAAAATTGGATTACAAAAATAGTTCTGAAACTTCTTTTGTAAAGTTCCATGCTGTAGGGGCTCTGTGTCCTACCTTTCTGTTGAGCCATTTATTCTCAGTCAATTTACTGAATGACCATTTTTCCTGTGCTCACGTAGCTCAGTCATTTCTTCCTGTTATGAAAAAACGTGGGCCTGTCTTGCTCTGTACATTATGAATTGAATTCTATGAGTCACAAAAGTCCTGTACATCATATAAAGTATCCTACATTTCCATTACTGCTTGAGTTCCATAAGGTAGTCAATAGTGCTGCTGTGTAAAGCAAATCTGTATGGGACAGGTCTGAAGAATCTGGAGTAAGCCTTTGATTATATAGGTGAAACTAGGGAGCAGCAAGAAACGTGTTCCCCAACTGAAACAAAGTGAGCGTCTTTTTTTCAGAGACTATTTTAAAGCCACACTGTCTACCCCAATTTCTTCTGGCCCTAGTCTGAATTGTTTTCTAAGGAGATTCCTGGATCCATTTTAGAGTTCTGTCTGTCCCTTTCAGTGCAAATACAGATGGGTCCAAATACAGGAAAAAACAAGCTAAGAGCTTAAGACCCATTGCCACAAAGCAGCAAACTAAGACAAATGGTCTCACAAAAGGATCCACAAAAAAATTTCCTGTCTTTCCAAACAAATCTGAAATATCATCTTATTTTCTGTATAAATGTGTTAGCAACTGAAACTGTAAATATGTTAATAAATTAAGTAGCAATGAGTATATTATCTCCACATTGATGTTCTCAGTTTTTCATTATAGTAGTCTGATGTTTTCTTTAAATCTGAAATGAGAACACTAGCTTCTTATAATGATAGTTGACTATTAAGGAAAATGAAGCTGAAAATTATGAAAATGTATTTCTCTTAGGCTAAAAATAATTTGAAAGCCTATCTTGCCATGAAATACTTAGGAATTGCAGTTGTAAGGCATATCTCCCTGTTTGTGTTTATGGATAGGAAGGTCTCAGTGACCCGTTTTCACCAAGGCTTGCCATGTCTGTTTATTTCCAGTGGGCAGTGCTGACCTGTGGACACTGCTTCTGTAATGAATGCACTTCAATTATAATTGAACAGTACAGTGTAGGGTCTCATCGAAGCTCCATCAAGTGTGCTATCTGCCGCCAGACCACATCACACAAAGAAGTCTCCTATGTCTTCACCTCAGAGAAGGCAAACCAAGAGGATGATATCCCTGTGAAGGTATGGTAAGTCAAGAACATACACAGTCAAAGCAATGCTACAGCAGTTAGTGTCTAACCAAGTAAAGCATTAAAGAAAGTTGGCACAGGGAGTGTAGAAAGTACTGTTCAGTATATCCATGCCAGCTGGCAACTTCAGCTTTATCACTGCTTCCTTGAAGGAGAGAGCTCAGCACATACTACCTAATACAGTTAGCTGCAGCTATACCCACTAAGAGCTAAAGGACTGCATTTCCCTGCTCTGTATGCTGTTTTCTCTTCACTACAGTCAATGTCAGACTGGGAATATACATCAGTGCTAGAATACTTGGTTACCATGCCAAAGATACTGGGTGTACTCTTTAACATTGAAAAGGGATTTTTTTTTTTATCCAAATATATAGTTACTGTTAAGGGTTTTTTGGTTTTGCTTTTTGTTTTGTTTTTTTGTTAGTTTGTTTGTTTAATTTCTTTTTATTGGATATTTTATTTACATTTCAGATGTGATCCCCTTTCCCCATTCCTCCCACCACCTAGCAATCCCCTATCCCATCCCCCCTCCTCCTGCTTCTATGAGGATGTGCCCCCACCCACTCGCCCACTCCTACCTCCCCACCCTCGTATTCCCCCACACTGGGGCATCCAGCTTTCATGGGACCAAGGACCTCATCTCCCACCTATGCCCGACACTGTCATCGTCCCCTACATATACAGCTGGAGACATAGGTCCCTCTCTAAGTGCTCCCAGGCTGGTGGTTTAGACTCTGAGAGCTCTGGTTGGTTGCTATTGTTGCTCTTCCCTTGGGGCCACAAACCCCTTCTGCTACTTCGGTGTTTTCTCTAACTCTTCCATTGGGAACTCCTTGATCAGTTCAATGGTTAGCTGTGAGCATCCACCTCTGTATATGTCAGGCTCTGACAGACCTCTAAGGAGACAGCTATATCAAGCTCCTGTCAGCATGTACTTCCTGGCATCCACATTAGCATCTACCTGGTGACTGCACATGGGATGGATACCCAGGTGGAACAGTCTCCAGACGACCCCTCTTTCAGGTTCTGTCCCAAACTTTGTCTCCATATTTGCTCCCATGAGTATTTTGTTACTCCTTCTAAGAAGGACCAAAGCACCCACATTTTGGTCTTCCTTCTTCAAGAGTGTCATGTGGTATGTGAGTTGTTTCTTGGTTGAGCACTTTTGGGCTAATATCCAACTATCAGTGAGTGCATACCATGTGTGTTCTTTTGTGATTGGGTTACCTCACTCAGGATGATATTTTCTAGTTCCATCCATTTGCCTAAGAATTTCATGAATTCATTGTTTTTAATAGCTGAGTAATATTCCATTTTGTAAATGTACCACATTTTTTTTTTAATCCATTCCTCTGTTGAAGGACATCTGGGTTCTTTCCAGCTTCTGGATATTATAAATAAGGCTACAATGAACATGGTGGAGCATGTGTCTTTGTTATATGATGGAGCATCTTTTGAGTATATGCCCAGGAGTGATAGAGCTGGGTCTTCTTCATGTAGGACTATGTCCAATTTTCGGAGAAACTGCCAGAATGATTTCCAGAGTTGTTGTACCAGCTTGCTCACAACAACAATGGAGGAGTGTTCCTCTTTCTCCACACCCTCGCCAGCATCTGCTATCACCTGAGTTTTTGATCTTAGCCTTTCTGACTGGTGTGAGATGGAATCTCCAGGTTGTTTTGATTTGCATTTCCCTGATGACTAAGGATGTGGAACATTTCTTTAGGTGCTTCTCAGCCATTCGAGTTTCCTCAGTTAAGATTCTCTGTTTAGCTCTGTACCCCATTTTTAATAAGTTATTTGGTTGTCTGGAGTCTAATTTCTTGAGTTCTTTGTATATATTGGATATTAACCTTCAATTGAATGTAGGACTTGTAAAGATCTTTTCCCAATCTGTTGGTTGCCGTTTTGTCCTGTTGACAGTGTCCTTTGCCTTACAGAAGCTTTGCAATTTTATGAGGTCCCATTTTTCAGTTCTTGATCTTTTTTGGTTTTTTGGTTTTTTCCCCTAAGCTTTCTACTTATCTAGTCTAAACCAAGAGAAAATATATGGGTTCTTAGTATTAGCTGATTGGCACAGGGATGACACAATATGATTTAAAGCACTGTGGACTAACATTTCAGAATATAGGTAAACTTGGATCTATATTCTTAACTTTTTCATGTTTTATTCAGAATCAAAAATTACTAATTCAGGGTACAAATAGGATCCACCTGACTTTCTACCCCAAATGTGTTCATTTATTTAAAAAGGCATACTAGGTGGTTTTTTTTCTTGTTTTTCTTATATATGCTTTTAATTTTTTTTTCTACTCAGACTTGGTCAAAAGGTAAATTAATATGTTAATTTAATAGGCATTGGAGGCCAGCTATACAGAGTAGACAATGGTTGTACTAATGCTTAAGCAGGAAGTATACTCTTCCTCATTGATTGCTCCTTCTGGGTTCTTGACATTCTCATATTTTAAGAATGTGTTTTCTGAGTAGATTTGAGGGCAAGTTGAAATTACTGACAGATAGGTGTTAGAGTGTTCTTCCTCCTAAGAAACCAGCAGTTCAGTTAAAAGAGCAGTTGCTTTTTGAATAAATGTTAAGGTATCAATCCCATTGCTGTTCCCAGAGTTGGAATGAATTTCCATTCATTCTTTCAGTGCATACTTATTGGATGCATCCTGTGCCCCAGGCAGTGTTCTAGGCCTCGCAGATGCAATACACAATCGGGATGTGGTTGCTGTACTCATTGATGTTACAGTTTGGTGGTAGGAATGTAGAGGAGTTTGAATTACAGCACAAAGTAAAGACAGTAAACAATGATTATTTTTATAATTATGATAAATACTACATTAAACAATGATTATTTTTATAATTATGATAAATACTACAAAATTAAAGCCAACCTGAGCTTTTCTGAGGGAATGAGTGTTAAGCAACAGGATGTAAACAATGAGTGGATTGGCCAACATGGGAAGAGGGTAGACCTGTCTTGCCTATAGGAAGTTCTCAGACTGAAAAAGAACTCACAGTATGTCAAGACAAACAAGCCTCACACAGAAGTGAGTGGCTGCAGGGCAGAAGGCCAAACTGAAAATAAAATGAAAGGGCAGGTGAGGCAGGGGCTCAGGCTCTAAATCTTGCCATGATCTTTCTTGCTACAGTCTAGAAAATCAGTTAGCAGGGATAGAGAAGAACAAAAGTGGAAAACATGTAGACCTATTTAGGAGGCCACACCGTTGTCCAGAAGCTTTAGGTGGTGACAATAGAGTCAGAAAGAGGTGGGTGTGCTCCAGGGACACTAATATAATGGAGCATTGCCAGGAATAGCACGGGAGGTACCCTGGATGCTGATGTCAAAAATCAGACTGTGGATAATCAAGACTTGTAACCAGAGGCAACTGTAGAAAGTAAGTTCTCTGTTGTTTAATTGTATTCAAGATAAAAGATTCTAAAGCATATTTAATCTCCAATAAAGGAATAGACAGGTGTCAGAGGACTCAGCAGGTAAAGGCACTTGCTGCCTAGCCTAACCACCTGAGTTCTTTCCTGAGACCTACAAGGTGGATGGAGAGAACAGTTTCCCCAAGTTGTCCTCTGACCATATGCACATTGTGGCATGCGTGTGTGCACACATGTACACACTCAGAAAAATAAAAGGGCAACCTGAAAATATAGGAAAGAAAAATAATCTGTAGTATTAGACTCTTAAATAGAGATCTCATTGAATTCAAGTAGTTATAGGTTGAACTGTTGAGCAAACAAACTGTAAGGGTATGTGTGTCTTTATCTGGAATGGGATAGTTTAAGTGAGGTAAAGAAAAATAGTGCTAGGTGCGACTTGAATGTATATATAGACAGGATATGATGAATGTCTCAGTCTGAGGTATATAATGATTTTAAATTAGGTACCCAAGTGTTGAACAAATGAAAGATGGTGTTACTAAATGACACCAAGAACGAGTTAGAGGGGAATTGAGTCTCCTGAGGAGAGCAAGAATTCAAATTTATTTGTGTTCAGGAGAAGTAAGTAATGTTGATGCTCAAATGCAGAACACAAAGGAAAGTCAACATTTAATATTTAAAAGGGCTCCCAAGAAAGTAGTGTGTTCAAAGGACAGCTAGGCTCTAAGAAAAGGGACAAAGAACAATGTTTCCACAAGTTTAAAAAAATAATCTACCTACATTTGTGTGGTGTGATGATGATGATGATGATGATGATGATGGTCTTACAGCACTTACTATGCCAGTAAATTACCCAAGATTGAAAGGACATAAATGAGAGGTAAATACACAAGTATGAATTGTAGTACAGTTTGGGAAGGGTAAGTGAGGAGAGGAGCGTGACCTAAGGAGAATGTATTCTGTCTCTGAATTCCTTGGATGAATGTGTTTTAAAAACGTGTTAAGGGGGCTGGAGTGATGGCTCAGCAGTTAAGAGCACTGACTGCTCTTCTAGAGGTCCTGAGTTCAAATCCCAGCAACCACATGGTGGCTCACAACCATCCGTAATGAGATTCGATGCCCTCTTCTGGTGTGTCTGAAGACAGCTACAGTGTACTCATAAATAAAATAAATAAATAAATCTTTAAAAACGTGTTAAGAAGTTGAAAAGTTCGAGGCCAGCCTGGTCTACAGAGTAAGTTCCAGGACAGCCAGGGCTATATAGAGAAACCCTGTCTCAAAAAACAAAAACAAAAACAAAAACAAAAAAAAAAAAAAGAAGAAGTTGCAAAGTAAAGTTTGTGGTTGGAGCAACCCAGAGGCCAGCCTTGAGGATTTGTGGTCAGTGCTCTATTCTTAGAATTGTCCTTTTTGATCCCGCCCTCTCCCCCACTATCTCCACACTTTTGTATTTCTCTCCCAATTTTCCTAAAGATGCTATCTGTTTTCTCTTCTCTTTCTGCTTTTAGCTACAGGTATGCTAACAGCCACAAGTAGTGTTAGTGGCTAGGATGAGGCAGCTTACCCTTATACAGTGAAAACACTAATGATAGCACC